TTGCCACATAGGACAAGTGAAAATTTGTGTATGCAATAATTTTGCCAAAATCATTCTGATCCTAACGAAAAAAATATATTTCACTGTGTTTGTTTAGTATTAAAATATTGTAAACAAATTAAAATATATTTAGTTGGGTTAGGCTAAAATAAATTGCTCTTATTATAATAAGGTTAGGTAAGTTTTCTAAGATTCTTTTGGTGCAAAATTTAAAATTTTTACATAAACAAAAATGAAAAAATATATCTTTAAATGTATAAGAGAAAATTTCAGAAAGAACTTAATTTTAAATGAGTTCTTGCTAACTGACCAGTTTTACATATTCGGCAACAACATACATACATACATACACACATATATATAATATATATATATATATATATATATATATAATATATATATATATATATATATATAATATATATATATATAATATAATATAATATATATATATATAATATATTATTTATTATTTATTATCACACTGGCCGATTCTCTTTTTTCTCTCTCTCTCTCTCTCTCTCTCTCCTCTCTCTCATCTCTCTCTCTCTCTCTTCTCTCTTCTTTTCTCTCTTTTTCTTTCTCTCTTTTCTTTCTCTCTTTTTCTTTCTCTCTTTTCTTTCTCTCTTTCTTTCCTCCTCTTTCTTTCTCTCTATTCTCTCTTTCTCTCTTCTCTCTTTCTTCTCTCTTCTTTCTCTCTTTCTCTTTCTCTTTCTTTCTTTCTTTCTTTCTCTTTCTTTTCTTTCTTTCTCTTCTCTTTCTTTCTTTCTCTCTTTTTCTTTCTCCTCTCTTTCTCTTCTTTTCTCTCTTCTTTCTTTCTCTCTTTCTCTCTCTCTCTTCTCTCTTCTCTATTCCTCTTCTCTTTCTCTTTCTCTCTTTCTCTTTCCTTTCTCCTTCTGTCCTTTGTCCTTTCCTTCCCTTTTTCTTTCTTTCCTTCATGTTCCTTTCTTGCTCCTCTTGTCCTTCCTCCCTAACCCTTCTTGTCCCTTTGTCCTCCCCCTAACCCTTCCTGTCCTTTTGCTTCTCCTTCTACATTTAACTTTTGCCCTTTATCTCTTTTGTGCTTTATCTTTTCCTCTCTAGTCCTTATGTGAGAAAACTAAATACTGTACGCTGTCATAATTTATGAGACAATCCAAAGCTGTAACTAAGAAAATAGTAATGTATCATATTGTTTATACAAGTCCAAAGAAGATCCAAACTGGAGTGACCAACGAGCAGCCTTGAAGGAACTGTATGCACCACGTCCCACTTTCCTGGGTCTTTTGCCACCCTTCAGTAACGATCATTCATTCCCTGAGGCACAAACGAGTGAACCAGAAGATGGAGGATCACCAGAGGAAAAGGCTGGAGTTGAGGCTGAGGAAGATGAGAGAAACCTGTCTGCCTCCTTATTGCACCTTGTCGTTCTTCAGGTAAATTCTCAGATGTTCCTGAATCTTTTTTTTAAATAAATGATGGAATAGATGGGGTGGAAAGAAAAAGAAAAGGAAAAGATGCAGTCACAGAGTTGATTGATATAATGAAAAAAATTATAGCTTAATGCACAGAGGAATAAATATGGGTGCACAGACATTGATTAATGTATTATAGGATGTAAAAACTCATTAAATACCTTATGCATAAGAGGTAGTAATAGGTTGGTAGACAGCAACCACCCAGGGAAGTACTACCGTCCTGCCAGATGACTGTGAAACAGAAACCTATAACTGTTTTGCATGATGGTAGGATTGCTGGGTTTTTTTTCTGTCTCATAAACACGCTAGATAACAGGGATATCTTGCTACTCCTACTTACACTTTGGTCACACTTCACAGACACGCACATGCATATATATATACATACATCTAGGTTTTTCTCCTTTTTCTAAATTGCTCTTGTTCTTCTTCATTTCTTCTATTGTCCATGGGGAAGTGGAAAAGAATCTTTCCTCCGTAAGCCATGCGTGTCGCATGAGGCGACTAAAATGCCGGGAGCAATGGGCTAGTAACCCCTTCTCCTGTAGACATTTACTAAAAAAGAGAAGAAGAAAAACTTTATAAAACTGGGATGCTTGAATGTGTGTGGATGTAGTGCGGATGACAAGAAACAGATGATTGCTGATGTTATGAATGAAAAGAAGTTGGATGTCCCGGCCCTAAGCGAAACAAAGCTGAAGGGGGTAGGGGAGTTTCGGTGGGGAAAAAATAAATGGGATTAAATCTGGAGTATCCGAGAGTGTTAGAGCAAAGGAAGGGGTAGCAGTAATGTTGAAGGATCAGTTATGGAAGGAGAAAAGAGAATATGAATGTGTAAATTCAAGAATTATGTGGATTAAAGTAAAGGTTGGATGTGAAAAGTGGGTCATAATAAGCGTGTATGCATCTGGAGAAGAGAGGAATGTAGAGGAGAGAGAGAGATTTTGGGAGCCTTTGTGAATGTATAGGAGCCTTTGAACCAAGTGAGAGAGTAATTGTGGTAGGGGATCTGAATGCTAAAGTAGGAGAAACTTTTAGAGAGGGTGTGGTAGGTAAGTTTGGGGTGCCAGGTGTAAATGATAATGGGAGCCCTTTGATTGAACTTTGTATAGAAAGGGGTTTAGTTATAGGTAATACATATTTTAAGAAAAAGAAGATAAATAAGTATACAAGATATGATGTAGGGCAAAATGACAGTAGTTTGTTGGATTATGCATTGGTAGATAAAAGACTATTGAGTAGACTTCAGGATGTACATGTTTATAGAGGGGCCACAGATATATCAGATCACTTTCTAGTTGTAGCTACACTGAGAGTAAAAGGTAGATGGGATACAAGGAGAATAGAAGCATCAGGGAAGAGAGAGGTGAAGGTTTATAAACTAAAAGAGGAGGCAGTTAGGGTAAGATATAAGCAGCTATTGGAGGATAGATGGGCTAATGAGAGCATAGGCAATGGGGTCGAAGAGGTATGGGGTAGGTTTAAAAATGTAGTGTTAGAGTGTTCAGCAGAAGTTTGTGGTTACAGGAAAGTGGGTGCAGGAGGGAAGAGGAGTGATTGGTGGAATGATGATGTAAAGTGAGTAGTAAGGGAGAAAAAGTTAGCATATGAGAAGTTTTTACAAAGTAGAAGTGATGCAAGGAGGGAAGAGTATATGGAGAAAAAGAGAGAGGTTAAGAGAGTGGTGAAGCAATGTAAAAAGAGAGCAAATGAGAGAGTGGGTGAGATGTTATCAACAAATTTTGTTGAAAATAAGAAAAAGTTTTGAAGTGAGATTAACAAGTTAAGGAAGCCTAGAGAACAAATGGATTTGTCAGTTAAAAATAGGAGAGGAGAGCTATTAAATGGAGAGTTAGAGGTATTGGGAAGATGGAGGGAATATTTTGAGGAATTGTTAAGTGTTGATGAAGATAGGGAAGCTGTGATTTCGTGTATAGGGCAAGGAGGAATAACATCTTGTTGGAGTGAGGAAGAGCCAGTTGTGAGTGTGGGGGAAGTTCGTGAGGCAGTAAGTAAAATGAAAGGGGGTAAGGCAGCCGGGATTGATGGGATAAAGATAGAAATGTTAAAAGCAGGTGGGGATATAGTTTTGGAGTGGTTGGTACAATTATTTAATAAATGTATGGAAGAGGGTAAGGTACCTAGGGATTGGCAGAGAGCTTGCATAGTTCCTTTGTATAAAGGCAAAGGGGACAAAAGAGAGTGCAAAAATTATAGGGGGATAAGTCTGTTGAGTATACCTGGTAAAGTGTATGGTAGAGTTATTATTGAAAGAATTAAGAGTAAGACGGAGAATAGGATATCAGATGAACAAGGAGGCTTTAGGAAAGGTAGGGGGTGTGTGGACCAGGTGTTTACAGTGAAACATAAGTGAACAGTATTTAGATAAGGCTAAAGAGGTCTTTGTGGCATTTATGGATTTGGAAAAGGCGTATGACAGGGTGGATAGGGGGGCAGATGTTGCAGGTGTATGGTGTAGGAGGTAGGTTACTGAAAGCAGTGAAGAGTTTTTACGAGGATAGTGAGGCTCAAGTTAGAGTATGTAGGAAAGAGGGAAATTATTTCCCAGTAAAAGTAGGCCTTAGACAAGGATGTGTGATGTCACCATGGTTGTTTAATGTATTTATAGATGGGGTTGTAAGAGAAGTAAATGCGAGGGTCTTGGCAAGAGGCGTGGAGTTAAAAGATAAAGAATCACACATAAAGTGGGAGTTGTCACAGTTGCTCTTTGATGATGACACTGTGCTCTTGGAAGATTCTGAAGAGAAGTTGCAGAGATTGGTGGATGAATTTGGTAGGGTGTGCAAAAGAAGAAAATTAAAAGTGAATACAGGAAAGAGTAAGGTTATGAGGATAACAAAAAGATTAGGTGATGAAAGATTGGATATCAGATTGGAGGGAGAGAGTATGGAGGAGGTGAATGTATTCAGATATTTGGGAGTGGACGTGTCAGCGGATGGGTCTATGAAAGATGAGGTGAATCAGAATTGATGAGGGGAAAAGGGTGAGTGGTGCACTTAGGAGTACAGTGGACCCCCGCATAACGATCACCTCCCAATGCGACCAATTATGTAAGCGTATTTATGTAAGTGCGTTTGTACGTGTATGTTTGGGGGTCTGAAATGGACTAATCTACTTCACAATATTCCTTATGGGAACAAATTCGGTCAGTACTGGCACCTGAACATACTTCTGGAATGAAAAAATATCGTTAACTGGGGGTCCACTGTATGTGGAGACAAAGAACTTTGTCCTTGGAGGCAAAGAGGGGAATGTATGAGAGTATAATTTTACCAACGCTCTTATATGGGTGTGAAGCATGGGTGATGAATGTTGCAGCGAGGAGAAGGCTGGAGGCAGTGGAGATGTCATGTCTGAGGACAATGTGCAGTGTGAATATAATGCAGAGAATTCGTATTTTGAAGTTAGGAGGAGGTGCGGGATTACCAAAACTGTTGTCCAGAGGGCTGAGGAAGGGTTGTTGAGGTGGTTCGGACATGTAGAGAGAATGGAGCGAAACAGAGTGACTTCAAGAGTGTATCAGTCTGTAGTGGAAGGAAGGCGGGGTAGGGGTCAGCCTAGGAAAGGTTGGAGGGAGGCGGTAAAGGAGGTTTTGTGTGCGAGGGGCTTGGACTTCCAGCAGGCATGCGTGAGCGTGTTTGATAGGAGTGAATGGAGACAAATGGTTATTAATACTTGACGTGCTGTTGGAGTGTGAGCAAAGTAACATTTATGAAGGGGTTCAGGGAAACCGGCAGGCCGGACTTGAGTCCTGGAGATGGGAAGTACAGTGCCTGCACTCTGAAGGAGGGGTGTTAATGTTGCAGTTTAAAAACTGTAGTGTAAAGCACCCTTCTAGCAAGACAGTGATGGAGTGAATGATGGTGAAAGTTTTTGTTTTTCGGGCCACCCTGCCTTGGTGGGAATCGGCCAGTGTGATAATAAAAAAAAAATGCAGTAACATAGTAACACAGTAACATAGTCATAGTAGGGGACTTCAACTTTAGTCAAATTGACTGGAATTCTTTGACAGGTAATCTAGAGTCCAGTGACTTTATGGAAACAGTTCAGGACTGTTTTCTGAAACAGAGCATAACTGAGCCTACCAGGGGTAATAATTTGCTAGACCTAGTCTTGTCAAATAAGGAAACACTTGTGAATAATCTGGAGATCACTGAAGAGCTTGGCGCAAGTGATCACAAATCCATCACTTTTAGCATTAATTGGGAATGCAAGAATAATGATAATACAGTAAAAATCCCTGATTTTCATTCTGCCGATTATAATGGACTTAGGGAACATCTGTCTAATCTTGATTGGGGTTATCTAGCTAATGATTTTATTGACGATAATCATACTTATGAATATGAAGGGATCTGCTTTTATGATTTTTTCTTAATAATGTACACAGTGCCCAGAGTATATACATTCCCCAGAGAGAAATTAGGTCTAATAATAACGATCCCAAATGGGTTAACAGGAGGCTAAAGCATCTATTAGGGGAGAAAAGGGGAATTTATAGGCGCATCAGAAGAGGAGAGGTTAACCTTACTGACCAATATGTTCAGCTTAAAAGAGAAGTAAAAAAGGCAATTAGAAAGGCTAAACGTGACTATGAAATTAGAGTTGCTAATGAATCAAAGACTAATCCAAAGGGGTTCTTTCAAGTGTATAGGACGAAGGTGAAGGAAAAAGTAGGACCTCTGAAAACTGGGAATGGACAGCTGACGGATAATGAACTGGAAATGTGTTCCTTATTTAATGACTATTTTTTGTCAGTTTTTACACTGGAAGATGTAAATGAGATTCCAGTAATTAACAATTATTTAGTTCCTGATGAATTTAAGTTAACTAATATTACTGTCACGAGGGACATGGTTATTAAACAGATTGACAAACTGAAACAAAATAAGTCCCCGGGACCCGATGAGTTGTTTTCAAGGGTACTTAAGGAATGCAAGATGGAGCTTAGTCAGCCATTAACGAGTGTATTCAATGCGTCCATCCTTACCAGTGTTGTGCCAGAGTTGTGGAAGATGGCTAATGTGGTTCCTATATTCAAATCAGGGGATAAGTCCACTCCTTCAAATTACCGTCCAATAAGCCTGACATCTATAGTGGGCAAGTTATTAGAATCAATTATAGCTGACATTATCAGAAGTCACCTTGAAGAGCATAACTTGATAAATGAATCTCAGCATGGATTCACGAGAGGTCATTCCTGCCTGACAAACTTACTGACGTTCTTCAATAGAACATTTGAGGCAGTTGACAGTGATAAGGAATATGATATTGTTTATTTGGATTTTAGTAAAGCCTTCGACAGAGTACCTCACAAGAGACTCTTAAGAAAAGTGGCAGCTCATGGTATAGGAGGTAAAGTTCTAGCATGGATTGAGGCATGGCTTACCAATAGAAAGCAGAGAGTTACCATTAATGGAGTGAAATCTGAATGGGGATTAGTCACTAGTGGCATTCCACAAGGGTCAGTTTTAGGCCCTCTCCTGTTCATAATTTACATTAATGACCTTGATGAAGGGATTACTAGTGACATGAGTAAGTTTGCTGATGATACAAAGATAGGCCGTATAATTCACTCTGAGGAGGATATCAATGAACTCCAGGATGATTTGAACAAATTAATGTCTTGGTCTGAAAAATGGCAAATGAAGTTTAATGTGGATAAGTGTAAGGTACTTGCCCTTGTTAATGAAAATAACCCTCGAAGCTATAATCTAGGTGAAGTAGAGCTTGGTCATACAGAATGTGAAAAAGACTTGGGAGTCATGGTAAGCAGAAATCTAAAGCCAAGACAGCAGTGCCTTAGTGTGCGCAACAAGGCCAACAGATTACTTGGATTTATCTCAAGAAGTATAAGTAACAGAAGTCCAAAAGTTATTTTACAGCTCTATACATCACTAGTGAGACCTCATTTAGATTATGCTGCTCAGTTTTGGTCCCCTTACTACAGGATGGACATAGACTCATTAGAGAACATACAGAGAAGAATGACTAAATTGATTTACTGTGTAAGGAACCTCCCGTATGAAGATAGACTTAAAGCCTTAAATCTTCACTCTCTGGAGAGGCGTAGAATGAGGGGAGATATCATTGAAGTGTATAAGTGGATGACGGGCATAAACAAGGAAGACATTAATAAAGTACTGAGGGTGTCGAACCAGGTAAGAACCAGGAATAATGGATTTAAGTTGGATAAATTTAGATTTAGAAAGGACATAGGTAAGTACTGGTTTTCTAACAGAGTTGTAGATGCGTGGAACAGTCTTCCCAGTGGGGTGATAGAGGCTAGGACCTTGGGTAGCTTTAAGAAGAGACTGGACAAATATATGAGTGGGAGGGGCTGGGTTTGATTGGTGTCATGGGGTACGGGAGTTATTTCTTGAGTAGCTTTAGGTAGATGTCGTTTTGATGAGGACCTGCCTCGTATGGGCCAGTAGGCCTTCTGCAGTGTTCCTACATTCTTATGTTCTTATGTTCTTATAAGAGGGCAAACATAGTAAATGTGTTAGATTTTGACTTCATGGCATGAAGGAAGGAGTGATGCAGTAAAACAGTTGTATTAGTTGTAGGGATAAAACAGGTAGCTTGGAGTTTGCAGTGTGAGGTGTAAATGCAGCACTAGCTTGTGGGTATCCATTATGACTGAAGGACTACAGCAATCTGAGGGAGACTGAAGGCGACATGCCATGACTGGTAGATGCCAACTAAAAAAGGCAGTGTCAGTTTGATAGACCAAAGAAGTAAAGAAACAAAAATTTCCTACAAATGCAGCAGGAGGAAAAAATTATAAATGATATTCATAGCACATTCCTTCTCAATTGTCCAGTATCATGATTAAAAGGTCTTCTGGCTTCTCTGTACATGGGTGACCTTCATCTTTGCTTGATCACAACAACTAGCAATTATTTTGCATTATTTAGACTCAAGATAGGAATGTCATTGTGCTGTGATGATCCAGTCCATGTAAAAATAATGGGAAATGGCAAATTGCATTATGTGGATTATTATTATTATAATCAAGGGGGAAGCGCTAAACCTGGAGGATTATACAGCGCCTGGGGGGGGGGGGATGTGGAAGGCATTCAGGCTTAATTCGGGGAACTGGAGCAGATCCAATTCCCTAAATCAAGAGCCCCTCACCAACATCAAGGAACCTTCCTTGAGGGGCATTATGTGGAGATGTTGAAGAAATAAACAATCTTTATAGCCCTATGAGATCCAAAGATTTGTTTAATTATAATGAAGACTGGTTTTAAAATTAAAGAGTAGAGACAGTTTTCTCATGTGCCTTGATACATTTTGCTCATTGTGAATGTTTGTGGGAGATTTGAAAGAATTAAATTTGCATGTATGCTTTCTTTCCAGTCTCTGCTGAGCTCCGATCTTCCATCAGTTGAAGACCGCACCAATGTTCTCAAGTTTGTGACTGCAAACCCTACTGCACTTGGTGCTCAGTCCCTAAGAGTCCTCTGCCTAGAGTCCTCACAGCAGCTGGATTACATCCTGCAGGAATTTCCTCATGCTTTACTCCAATATGGAAAGGTTAGATGCCAACATTATTGCACAAACATTTATAGTTATACTATGTAGTAGGTTTGTAGACAGCATCTGCCCAGGGAGGTACTACCATCCTGCCAAGTGAGTGTAAAATGGAAGCCTGTAATTGCTTTACACGATGGTAGGATTGCTGGTGTCCTTTATTCTGTCTCTTAAACATGCAAGATTTCAGGTACGTCTTGCTACTTCTACTTACACTTAGGTCACACTACACATACATGTACAAGCATATATACACACCTCTCTGGGTTTTCTTCTATTTTCTTTCTAGTTCTTATTCTTCTTTATTTCCTCTTATCTCCATGGGGAAGTGGAACAGAATTTTTCCTCCGTAAGCCATGCTTGTTGTAAGAGGTGACTGAAATGCCAGGAGCAAGGGGCTAGTAACCCCTTCTCCTGTATATATTACTAAATTTAAAAATAGACACTTTCGTTTTTCTTTTTGAGCCACCCTGCCTCGGTGGGATACGTCCGGTTTGTTAAAAGAAAAAGAAACATGAAAGATTTCAGGTACATCTTGCTACTTCTACTTACATTTAGGTAACACTACACTTGCATGTACAAGCATATATATACATACCCCTCTACATTTTCTTCTGTTTTCTTGCTAGTTCTTGTACTTGTTCATTTCCCTTTATCTCCATGAGGAAGTGGAACAGAATTCTTCCTCCATAACCCATGCATGTCATAAGAGGTGAGTAAAATGCCAGGAGCAAGGGGCTAGTGACCCCTTCTCCTGTATTCATTAATAAAGTTAAAAAGAGAAACTTTTTTCTTTTTGGGCCACCCTGCCTTGGTGGGATACGGCCATTTGTTGAGAGAAGAAAATATTACTTTCTTCTATGACACTACCCTAGTAAAAAATATTTATGTCCAAGATCTAAGGAAACATAAATGTATATAATACCATCAGGATATTATAATAATAATAGTAAGAATATATCAGTAATATTGCCTTAATGGTGGCTTTCTCATTATTAAGACTTAATTTTAAATAGAAGTATGACAATAAACTAATATGTAATTACAAAAGTAAGGTTTGCAGTACCATCTTTGTTAATGTATAATTTTTTTACCTATGGATAGTTAAAACATTTTAATTATCAGGATATGTACGAATCTCCATTGGAATGGGAGGAGTTAGTGTTGAAGCTGATCACTCACAAGTCAAGTCTACCTGAATCAGATCCTGCTTATCAAGTGTACTCTGATATTCTGAATGGTGAGTATCCAATTTATAAGTTAGAGTGTCTGGTAAACTCAACAATATCTAATACCTGTATCAACAACACCTCAACCATCAATCTGTATTTCACTACTGCTTTATCCTCTAGATTTTCATGATACTGCACACATTTTTATTAAACACAGCAGGTCACTGTATGACCTGCTATGGGTTTAGTGCTTCCCACAAAAAGATACAAAACACTTTATTCTTAAATACTGGTAGGTCATTTCATCAACTTCAGTTTTAGTTATACAGTATCTGCAAAATTCTGTGTATAAATATGAACTTCATAAAATACCCTCATTCGTAATAAACAATTGCAGTTACTGCAGTTAGCAATTATACTGATCTTTTATTATTACAATTGACTCCTTGCTTAACGATACAGCTGTGGACCAGTCAGAAGGCTCATTAAGCAGAAATATGGTAAATGAATTGCATTTTCTCACAGACACCCCTGTTATAACCTGAGATGCAGACCAGGATAATAATGTTCCTCAGCTGATTCCTATTAATTTTTGGGGGGAAGATGATATTCATAACTAGGCACTGTACTCATGAGAGATTGGCTTCCCTAGGGTATCCCTGTCTCATTCTCTCCCTCAGTCTCTCTTATACATGGATACCTCATTTAAATAAAAATATCATAAATTTAGACATGGCGTACAACACAATGGATAATGTAAATAAAAAATATGAAATACGAGGAAAGACTGAAGACAAATTTATTGTTATTGGAAGACAGACGAAGTATATGAGAGATAACATTAAAGCAGATAGGAAAAGATTGCTTGAGACTAAGAATTTAGAGGACAAGAGGATTCAATTTTAATTTGTGAAAGTGGTAGTGTAAAAAAATTAACTTCAGTATTTCTTGACAAATGAAGTGGATGATGAGCGGAAGGAGTTCCACAAGGATGTTGCGAGTTCAACAACTATCTCATAGTTAGCCAATAAACTAGCCACTTCGGTGGCAAAATCTAATCTCAAAGTTTAAAAATTAAGATTAATAAAGAAAAGGTGAAACATCTGTCCTTCTAAAACCTTAAATATGGTAGATAAATACACAAAGCACTTACATTGTGCACACAAAAAGTACTACACTGTTAGGAATACAAGTTTCTGTACATTTTTGGTTTTGATGTGTTATGCTATTTTAATGCATTTTAAAAGCTAATCCATGTATTTTTGCTATTGATTTTTAATATTTAACTACTGTACTGTATATACTTTACCACATTAAATATTACAGGACATTCAAGGTTGGAACAGGATGACGATGAAGCCATCTATAAACCAGATCTTTCATTTGGTCAGTTGATTTGATTTCCCCGATGTTAATCTGTTCTGAAAACACGATGTTCCATGTTTGAGTAATGCGAGTAATGAAAGTAGCTGATGGAGTGACTTCTATGAGACAAGTAAAACCATGGCAGAATTGCAAATGGTTCTGTTTCCTTGGTTAAAAAAGTTGTCCTTTGGTTGTTCATAGTTAGGCCAGATGGAACTTTAATTTACCTGATGACTACTGTATTCAGTGGCTACTGTGAGAGGCTTCCTCATATAACCTTAGAGGTTTTTCTAAGTATACAGTGGAACTTTGGTTTTCATATGCCCTAGTTTGTATGTAAAACTATAGTTATTCTCTATAAAATTTATTTTTTGTTAATATTTTCGGGTGTCTGGAATGAGTAATTGGATTTACATTATTTCGTATGGGAAATATTGCTTCCGTTTTTGTACGATTCAGCTTATCATCAGGCTTTTTCGAACGGATTAATCACAAAAACCAAGGTTCCACTGTATTTTAAAGGCATGCTTTGATGCCTCCACTGAATAGAACATTCCTTGGGGTTATTGCTCTACAGAAATAGTAGTAGTTTTATCTGGTATCTCATCTATACTACATCTTGTCAAGCTTTAAAGGTGTGGTATTTATCTTGAGAAAGTTGTTGGAGTCTAAACTTGTTCAGTGCCTTAAACATTTCTGTGATAGTAGCTCTGCTGTACCTTCCTTGAAAAGTTGAACAGTCCTCCAGTGCTCAGTCAATATTAGTACTGAATGTGACTTAATTCAGGAATAATTTTTTGTTAGCCTGCATTCAATTCTTTAAGTTCAGGTAAACTACCAGAGTGCCACCCACAGTAGTAGACTAATACCCTGGTACCTATTTGCTGCCAGGCGTACGTCAGCATCAGGTATAAGGAGACTTTCCCATTTCTGTAGGTGTGTTCTCCATGGATAAATTCAATATTGTAGTCAAGAGGGGAGCATAGGAGTTTATAAAGGTGAACAATAGTGTTGATTTTATACTCAAAGGTGGGAAATATGATTATGTGTTTGGCTTAATTTTTTTACTGCTCCTTCCATTCATTAGGCAGTATACAAAGATTGGTGAGTGTGAGGGATTGATGCCTTCTGTCAATGCAGGAAATCAGTTCATTAACATGGCAAAATAGTGTGGAAAGCTTATGGCCAAAGTGCTTCTCCCTACTATTTCTTCTGTTCTTCTTTTATTTAAGATAAAAGCAGGCTTGTTAGGTAAGACATGTTTTTCTTAAGTTAATTTTGTGTTTCCATATAATGTTCTCAAATAGCAGAAAAAATGGGAAAGTTAATTGATTGATAAGTAGATTTCTGCTGCATATCTGATTCTCTTTTTTTGAAGAGTGGAGTGATATTTGCAAATCCTCAGTCTTGAGGAACTCTTAATAGAACCTGGTATTTTCAGAATAGTTATCCTTGTTAACCTTGTACATTCATACCTTACTGCCATATGCAGATTATGGTAATGATTTCAAGGTAGTACTAGCGAAAATTATACAGTGCTCACCACATACTGAGCACTTGTTACATTTAAACCCTCTCTATATTTTGCATGTAACACTGTATTACCTTAGTTGTTACCTAGAATATTTGTATACTGAATGTATAAATAATTATTAAATTATTTTATTATCATTTTAATAATTTACTAGAAACCTAAATTATATATCTTTTTACCTACAGAGACATTCACCAAATGATGGATAAGTTTGTCATTTACTTATCAATGAGGTGCCATTATTTTGGTAATTTAATTTATATTATTGTGTCATGGATTACTTGCTCTAAAAGGCAGTTAGAGAGAGATAACCAAAGGTTTTGCCTTGATAGTAATTGTATGTAGTTGATTTATATACAAACAAGGCTATTATTATTATAATGACTATTATTATTATAATTATTATTATTATTATTATTGTTGTTATTATTTTCCATTATTAACCCATGTTACCTCAGTTGGAAAAGTAGTGGAATTATTTTTCACAATTTTTTTAGAAGCATATTGAAATTGCAAAGAAATGACAAAAAAATAAGACTTAAAATTTCTTATTGATATTAATTTATCAGGTTATTTTTGCATGCCAAAAATTTGGAATCCAAGGCAACACTGATTTATACCTGTAATCACAGTGCACAGTAACAATATTTTCCGTGTACTCCTCACCCGTGTCCCGGCGGTAGCTGAATTCTAGCCAACACTGGTGTTTTAGATTCCTTTAATTTGTTGATGCAGTATTCCTCCTGCTATAGCTATTATATGTATAATTAGAATATCCCTCAGCTCATTTTCAGTTCGTGTGTTGAATGTCCTCACAGGAGCTAGTATATTCTTGATATATTCTTGAAAACATTGGTCATGAGCACAACACTAAGACTTCACATTTTTGTGATTTTCTGACTACCTCACTTGCAAGATTCATCAGCATGTTGTTTGATGTTTCAGAATAAGATTTCACTCCCCAAATATTGACTATTGATCTCTAAGGTTTTGTCATGCATCCTCACACCAATTATAATGTATGTGCTACACAGTGTTCCCTGCTTGCCTGCACAACTGCAATAATTATTGAGTGATGGCAACTTTAGTTGAGTTGGTGACTTTGTTTATATTTTGATAGCCTAATTATTTCTTGCTGAATATTTATTCTACTTCATACATGCCTATAGACTGTGGTAACTACAAAATCTATAATGCATAGAGTTTGATTGTGATTAGGGATGGGATGATATAAAAAAAAATTCCCAACCCCGATACTCAATTTTAGGCTGATACTGTTGATACCATAAAAATTATCCAAAACCCACCAATACCAATATTATCATTTTGTTTAACACATCAGTCATCTCCTGTCGAGGCAGGGTGACATTATTATTATTATTCTTATATACATGGGAAGTGCTAAATTCTTATGGATTATACAGCATCTGTCAAATGGGATTAAATTAGGGTTTTTTGGGGGGAAAGGTAGGCATATATTTACTCAGATATAGACGACATATACACTGCGAGCATCTTTTGGCTATTTTGCATGACGATTATGTGCCTACAGTTGCCCAAAACCCTCCATGTGGAAGTGGCTGCTCATAGAGTTATGTGCGGCAGCTAGAAAGTGAAAAGATGAATGTTGAATAATTAGTAAGCTAGATAAAGTGGAACCTCTGTTTTTGTTTGCCCTGGTTTTTGTCGAATTCAGTTTTCGACATCTTTTTTTCATCAAAATTTTATCCTGGTTTTCATTTATCATCTCGGTTTTCGTCAGTACACTGTACCAAACATGTCCGCCTGCCCGTGCCCACACAAAGCATCCCATGTGTTCTGGGTCAGTCTGGCTTTGTTTCTCATCAAGTGAGCATTACCCTGCACGCTCATCCAAAACATTTCATAATAATCTATTGTTTTTTGTGCTTGTTTATTGAATGCGACTGCTAAATAAGCCACCATGACCATGGGGCTTTGGGGAAGTCCATGGGGTTGGATGCGAGTAGCCAGGATGTGGAAGAGTTGGTGGATAACCACTGAAGAGCTGCAACACCTTCAACTGGAACAGCAACAGATCACAGCTGAGGAAATTGCTTCAGAGGAGGAGGAAGAGAGAGGGGAGAAGGTGCTTTCTTCAGTGATTAAGGACATGTGTGCAAAGTGGAGTGAGCTGCAAAGTTTTGTGGAGAAGTATCACCCTAACAAAGCTGTTGCAGGCCGTTTCTGCAACATGTTAAATGACAATGCCTTGTCCCGTTGAAGGCAAATCTTAAGAGATGCCACAAACAGACCTCTCTGGACAGATTTTTTTGTGCAACAGGGTTCCAGTGCCAGTAAAAGACAAAGAAAGGAAGTAACTCCAAATAGGAACTTGATACCTGAAGTCCTTATGAAAGGGGAAATCCCCTTCTAACCAATAACCTCTCCTCTCCTCGTGTCTTCCCTTCGCCAACAAGAGTCTTCAGTAAAGGTAAAATTGATATTAAATGTTCATTTATCCATTTCATTAGTCCTTTATATTTTTATTTCTCATTGCTTTCTGTATGTAAAACTATAGTTATTCTCTATAAAATGTATTTTTTGTTAATACTTTTGGGTGTCTGGAACGGATTAATTGGATTTACATTATTTCTTATGGGAAATATTGCTTCAGTGTTCATCAGACTTTCTGGAACGAATTAATGACAAAAACCAAGATTCCACTGTACTAGTTTAGTTACTGCAGTTGATGTACCATACCAAAGTAGCATTCAAAGGAATATAAGAAATAAATGAAAACAAATTGTGAAATAAAGACAGCTTACTGTTGAAGTCTCACTGATAGAGTTGTACACGGCGTGGAAATTCATATAGAAGCGTTAGATACATGTTTTATAACTTGTACATGTACTGCAGTTTTAGAAGAAATATTCCTTAAAGGAAGGGGGTAACTTGATGCTGGTGAAGGGGTCTTGATCCAAGGAACTGGAACTACCCTCCTCTTTCTTTGATAAAACCTGATTACTTTCCATTACCTCAGGCACTGTAGGAATTTTGTGGGTTCAGCATTGCCCCATGATTATGATGATTATAATAACAATTATTAGAAAGATCCTAAATAGATTTCTAGATAAGTAACAGCATATTTAACATAGAGTGAAGTGATTATAAAATACGATAACATTTTTGAAGGTAGGTTGAAGTATGGCAGTGTAAATAGAATCATGATTGTAAGAAAGAGTGAAATTGAAGCTAATGTATTTTTAGAATATGTAGACATTGTAGAGAAGTCATAATGTGGAAATTAGGAGGAGGTGTGGAGTTACTAAAAGTATTATTCAGAGGGCTGAGGAGGGGTTGTTGAGGTGTTTTGTTCATTTAGAGAGGATGAACCAAAATAGGATGACTTGGAGGGTGTATAAATCTGTAGTGGAGGGTAGGAGGGGTTGGGGTCATCCTAGGGAAGGATGAAGGGAGGGAGTAAAAGAGATTTTGTGTGGACATACAACAGGCATGTGTGAGCATGTTGGATAGGAGTGAGTGGAGACAAATGTTTTGTGGGACTTGACGAGCTGTTGGAGTGTGAGCAGGGTAATATTTTGTGAAGGGATTCAAAAACTGGTTAGCCAGACTTGAGCCCTGGAGGTGGGAAGCACACTGTCTGCACTTTAAAGGAGGGGTTTGGGATATTTGCTGTTTGGAGTGACATTTGAACTGTCACATCTGTGTGCCTCTGCAAAGACAGTGGTTGTGTGTGAATGCTGGTGATTTTTTTTTTTTTTGGTCACCCTGCCTCTGTGGGAGATGGCCAGTGTATAAAAAAAAATGTAGACAAGAATAAGGATAGTATGAATGAGTCTTCACACGAGGAGGTTAGTGTTGTAAAGTTTTGTCATGTATATGATACAAATACCCTGCTCTAGTGATATTGAATATTTCAAATACAGAAAAAAAAATATTCATTGATTTTTGAAGAGAGTTCAGTATCACTATTAGATTTATTGAACCCAAGAGTGTCATCTGTTGGGGTTAAAGTTACTTTATATTTTATCCTGTTATAAAAAATCCTGCCTTCTGTAAAGCATGGTAACTTTTCCAAGTTTTGTTTACAGATGTCCTGGGAGAACTAGTGGTTTCGGCACCATTTGATGTTTTTATGCGCATTATTCCTGGCAGTCGTCACGAAGAGTTAAGGGGTCACATACGCCAGTGCCACTCTGCTGCTTTGGCTGTCCATCTTCGCACCTCTCTTATGACATACGCTCATAATGTCTTGGCACAAATGACTAAATAATTTATAATACTTTCTGGAGAAGTCAGAATATATACGTATTATGTAAGTGTTGTTTGTGCTGTCATGGCCTAAGATTGAAATGTGTATTTCCCATGCCTGTGTGACAAACGCTTATATTTATTGTAATTCTCCATTCAGATTTACACCAAGCAGTGCTTAAGTTTTTAGCAAATAAGATCTTTTAAGTGTATGCATTATTTGCTCAAATAATTTGTGCCAAAAATATGTTTAAAGAAAAATTTCTTTCTTTCAACACACCGGCCATATCCCAATTAAAGAAAAATTGTCTAGTTTAAAAGCACTGCATACATACATACATACATGCATACATTCATTCATTCATTCATCTACATTCACATACTGTATAGTGTATTTAGAATGTATGTACAATATGTATGTGACATGCTAGTTCACACAATCAACAGAGGTAGCATTTGTTTGTTTATTGAGCATCATAGAGTTTGTTGCATGAAAATGCTTTTTCTGTATTAGTTAAGAACCAGCATACTCTACTGGTGTTGTGTGGCCTTCTGTTTTTGGCATTTTGAACTGGAGAATTGTTACCTGATCTGTGTAATTCATCCTAAAGGTTATGTATTTTGCAAATGCTTGGGATGGAGGAAAATAAGAAGACTTGGAAGGTGTATAAATCTATAGTGGAGGAAAGGCAGGGTAGGAAATTGGACAGTTATTTTCACCAGGTGCTGGATCAACCAGGCTATGATGGATATATGGGTCATCTGACCACCAGCAGCAACACCCTGGTGACCAGGCAAGCACTAGACAAGCCTGGCCCATGGCCAGGCTCCAGGAGTAGAAAAACTCTCGGAACTCATCAAAGGTATATCATGGTAGGGGTCACCCTAGGAAAGGTTGGAGGGAGGGGGTAAAGGAGGTTTTGTTTGCAAGGGGCTTGGACATTCAGCAAGCATGTGTGAACATGTTTGGTAGGGGTGAGTGGTGGCAAGTGGTTTTCATGATACGACTTCCTGTTGGAGTGTGAGCAAGGTAACATTTTGTGAAGGGATTCGAGGAAACCGGTTAACTGGACCTGAGTTCTAGAGGTGGGAAGTACAGTACCTTCACTCTGAAGGAGGGGTGGGGATATTGCAGTTTGGAGGGGCATCTGGGCTGTAATGTCAACTTTCCTCTGGCAAGATAGTGGTGGAGTAAATGATGGTCAAAAAGTTGTTCATTTTCGGTTCATCCTACCTCGACGGGAGATGGCTGGTGTCTTAAAAAAAAAGTGGGGTTACAAGCCAGTTATCTACGTGCCAAAGCCAAATGATTATAGTGTGTTATGATCATATTTACATTATGTATAAAATAATTAGCAGTAATACAGGTTTGGGATATTGGCAGTTTGGAGGGATATGTTGTGTATCTTTATATGTTTATGCTTCTAGACTGTTGTATTCTGAGCACCTCTGCAAAAACAGTGATAATGTGCGAGTGTGGTGAAAGTGTTGAATGATGATGAAAGTATTTTCTTTTTGGGGATTTTCTTTCTTTTTTGGGTCACCCTGCCTCGGTGGGAGACGGCCGACTTGTTGAAAAAAAAAAAAAAAAAAAAAAAAAAAAAAAAAAACAGGTATTCATGTAACCTTTGAAAATACTAGAGATCAAATGGTCACCATAGTAACATCTAATTATTGTACTTCCACCACTCTGCATGCCAGTCAAGTTCAGATGACATGCGGTTATGAGTGTTTGGTGAGTTCACACCTATTGTAAATTGTCTGAGCATCCCTCTTAACTGGCATCAGTGTTCAGTGATCTTCCCAGGATCTCTGTCAGGATGGTAAATAGCTATATCTTCACATTTGGATACAGGTCAAGTAAATCTGCCAATGTTAAACTTGATTATATTTTATACCGTAATTTATAGTAAGATGTGAAAAATAACTGACAAGTAATCATATAAAATAATTGGTTATTATATGTTCTTTAGGTATTCATAAATAGTATTGCTGTCTATAATACAGGTGGTAATAATAAGGTAAGAGAATATTGGTACAAATGTTTATCAAGGACTATAAAAAAGTTATAAGATCTTTTATTGTTCAATTCATTATTCATTCTTTTGAGATATCCTGCAAGAATGTAATTCTGCAGATATGTACAGGTTTACTGTAGATTTAGGAATGTTGTTTATGAATTTATTACCTCATGTTAGTTGAGATCTAGTCTCTGACTGGTGTATGAACAGGTTTACTGTTAAGTTCAGTACTGTATTTATATTCTTAGCTAGTCATAAATATTTATGTTCAAATTATCATCCTCAGGCACTGTAGATCCAATTTCAATAATGTTAGATTTAAGAATTAAGTTTAATTAAATTGCTATGCTTAGAGCCAAACACTTTTTTTTTGCCCTTGGTCATGTATTACAAGGCATTGATTCAATGGAAATAGCTGTAGCTTATTGTGATGCCATATTCCAAAGTTAAATGCAATAGGTTATAGATATGTCACAGACATAACCCAACACCCATCACATAAGATGGTTTTCAAGGATGATGTAGTTCCTGTATTGTCTTGAGTTGGGAGACTTCAATACTGCCTTTCACTGGCATTGTTTTCTATTTTATAATATACAGTATTTTTGAGACTGTCATTTGCATCTTACTGGGTACAGGTTAGCACCTTTATTAGCAGTGGATCATGGATGTCAGGGTGTCCCATTACAGTGGAACTATAGGGAGTAAAACAGAGAATGAAAAGATTTTGAATCTAATTCATTCCATTAATGTGTTCACTGTTGCTGTTCCTGAATAGTGTGGAGCATTCAGTAATATTCTTGTGAATCCTATTCAGAATATCTACTGTTACTTGGGAGACAGTCTCAGTAATCATTTTTCACACCAAACTAAAATCCACTTTGGATTTTCAGAAGACTATTGGTGGTAGTTTTGTCTTTTCACTTCTGATAAATAAATACTGCAACAAAAATTTCAAGAACATCACGTACTAGTCATTTAATAATATAATTAATTTAGTGAATGAGTGGGAAAAGCATAATCTTAATTATATTGTAAGTTAGCCTTATGTTTAGAAGTTTCTATAGTAACACTGAATGAACTTGTAATCAGACAACACATTCATTGTTTCAATTTGATAATCAATTGAAGCCTTGAATTTGTTAAGTGGCTTTTACCCGGCAGTTTTTTGGGGAAGGTGTGTTTTAACAATACAGTGAACCCCCGCCTTACGAACGCATCGCGTTACATTAAATCCACCATACAAAGCATTTGAACGCAAAAATTTTGCCTTGCCTCACGATAAAAAACTCGCCTTGCGTGATTCGTCTGGGACACGTCCCACGTGTGGCCTCAGTGCCAGTGTTTACAAGCCAGCTAGTGCGGTCGCATCTACGCATACATTCGGTACATTTCACATTATCCCATTGTTTTTAGTGCTTGTAACTGCAAAATAAGTCACCATGGACCCCAAGAAAGCTTCTAGTGCCATCCATGTGGTAAAAAGGGCGAGAATTAGTATGGAATTGAAAAAAGAGATTAAGGATATGTGTGCAAAGTGGGTTGAATTGCAAACCTTTACGGATGAAAATCACCCTGACACAGCTACTGCAAGCCGTGTTGGCAACCTATACAATGACAATGTTATGGCCCATTTTAGGAAAGTCTTAAAGGAACAGGAGGTACAGAGCTCTATGGACAGATTTGTTGTGCGACAGAGGTCCAGTGACTCTCAAGCTGGTCCTAGTGGCATTAAAACAAGGGAAGTAATCCTAGAAAAGGACTTGCTATCTCAAGTCCTAATGGAAGGGGATTCCCCTTCTAAACAATAACAACTTCCACACACTTCCCTCCTCCCATCCCATCAATCATCACCAGATCTTCAATAAAGGTAAGTGTCATGTATTCTATTCTTAGTAGAGTAGCAATTGTGCATGTCTTCTTCAGTTTGTGTGTATTAATATTAATATTTCATCTGGTAAAATATTTTTTTTTTCATACTTTGGGGTGTCAGGAATGGATTAATTTGATTTCCATTATTTCTCAGGGGGAAAATTAATTCGGCTAACGATAATTTCGGCTTACGATGAGCTCTCAGGAACAGATTAATATCATAAGGCGAGGGTCCACTGTATTATCAATCTAACACTTTTCCTTTAAAATCCATTATATTTCCATAGTGCATATATATCAGTTACATTGGCCTCAACTTCCTTACATGGCTGTAAATTTCAAGCTCTTGTCAATGTTTATAATAGTATACAGCATAGAACACATACAGTAAACCTTTAATATAATGGACTTTTAAATTATGGGCAATATCCACTGGGTAAACTGTACTTTTAAAGTTTATTGCAGTATATCTGTAAATTTTATAGAGTAGTTTATTGCATTTTTTCTATTTTTTGACATTCTTAGGTAATGGAAACTAAAAATCCCCACATTAGTGTGTACTGTGTTTCAGAATACTGAATACTGCAATATTCTACATAGTATAATTGTTACACAATGTCTGACAAAGTTTACTTGAAAACAAAAACAGCTACACAATGTATATTTTACTGCTACTATTGTAAATGATTATGCCTTCTTCATCTTTGATGCAGTATCCATCTTTTACAGAATACATATTAATATTTAAAAGTTTGTTACTTTATGACTCACAAAATCGTAATGACACGATTGCAAACAAACTATACCACAGACGGGGATATCCCCGTCAGGTTCTATCCCCGTCCGTGGTATGGTTTGTTACTTTATATCCATATTATGCTTTTACTTTATTTCTGAGCCTTTTTCTCATCAGATCCATCAAGAATCTCAATGTTTTAATTGTAATTTTAGGTAATGTCTTTCTAAATGTCAATTATTTAAAAAACAAAAAAAAAAAAATTGTATGTTTGTTTGTTATATCCTACACAAAATCTTGTACAACTAATTATATTCTCTGTTAAGCCCATTCATATTTTGGAAGCTACATCTTGACAAATTGTTTGTTGCAGAAAGTTTTGGAAACCCTAATAACCTACTTCACTGGATTGCAATTTATAATATTATTTAGGTATTCCCATTTAGGCAATACAGTTTTGTAACTCAGTCACTTCTGAGGGTAAACACCTGAACTGACTGATGTTTCCAACATAGGGTTGCTGCAGCTGCTGAGAGTAAGAGCTATTCTTGTGTTGGCTTGCCTGGAGATGGAACCTACCTTTGTAGCTGTGATCTATCAGTAGGCAATACACTTCTTTATTGAATGGAACAAGGTAAGTTCAGTACTGGCTTTACTGAAATGACCTGGTTCACTTATATATTTCCTGCCAGAGCTCACAGTTTACATGTTTTTTTGGTTGGAATCTGTTTTGTAGGCTTGCCTCCAGTGAGGCATGTTTGGTCTAATGCTGTTCTTAAGTCATTTGATCGTTAATTTTTTATACGTTCCCATTATATTTGGTACTGTATTTTTTTTGTGTTTAGTGCCTCTCCTTGTTGAGCTCTATGGTGCAGAAAAGAAGCTGCTATCATTTTTACTTCTACCTTAACAGGAGCACTTCAGATCAACCAAACATGTTGCCAAATTGTAGAATTTTCTTGACAACTGATTCCCAAGATGCATCTATTGTTCTCCCAGTTAGCTCAATATGTTTACCACCTTCCTCCATTCTCAGCCCTTCTCACATTTTTCCTGGATATTCTCTCTGTTTTTTTTATGCCATACTACCATTAGTGTCTACCTTCAACTGTAAGACATGTGACAATTTTTTGTGCTCCGAGCACAATTGAAATGCGTGATGATTAACTTGCTTTCACACACTTTCCATAAATTGTGACCTTGGTGGGAGACAGCTAACATGTTGAAAAAAAAAAATTCTTTTTTTTTTTTTTTTTTTTTTTTTTTTTAAGCTGATTGCTTTTCCAGCCCACAGATGGTAACTAGCATATTTATTTATTTTCAGTGACCATTCTTGACTAAATCTGCATCTTGATGAAAATGGTATACAATGCCAACAAGTAGATGAGTAAGACTCATGTGCAACAGTTGGGTATCTATTGTTGAAATGTTTCACCTATATGGTAGGCTTCTTCAGTCAAATATAGAAAATAAATATGGACACAGCAGCAGTAGTAGTGAGGTAAAGATGTGATCAGCCCATCAACCATCTACTTGTCAGTAGTGTATACCATTTTCATCATTACACTTGTTTGACAGCAACACAGCAGTATCTTGATACAGAGGATATTCCACAACTTTATTTTCTTACCTACTACCTATGAATGAGATGGGTTGGATTTGATAGGAACTTACTTAGCATGGGCCAGTAGGCTTGCTGCAGTGCTTCTCACTTCTTGCCTTCTTGCATCTACTAGTGGTTCCTGCCTCCTGCGCAACGTCATCAAGACCTTCCACATCTCACCCTTGGCTTCAGCTTCACATTGTTCCAGACTATGGAGCTGATCTCTTTCCCAGGCTGAGGGACTGAGCACCTCAAGAACTCCTTCAAGGTTGATGAACTGATCACATCATTTTTACCTTGCCACTACTGCCGCTGTCTCTATATTTGACTAAAGAAGGCTACTGTGCAAGTGAAATGTCTCAACAGTAAAGATCCCCTTCTATTTCACATGTCTTACCCATCTAAATTTACATCCTCTGACAGTCTTCCTTGCACATTCCTTTCAAGGTTACAAATATCCACAGCCAACTTGTGCACCAATGCCTGCCTATTCGCAGTATAGTTCATGGTTCTTTATGCAACCTCTTTGTGATTATTACCTTTGAGCAATATAGTCAGACTCACATTTGACTGCTATTTCTTCTCATTGGTGGCTTATCTGACAAATCAGTTGGTAGTTATAGAGCTGCAACCCACACTGCTGGCAGAGTGCAATGCAAAGTACTGCCAGTGAACTGCCAAAAGTCCTGCCTTCAGGGTAATTCATTGTGTGTGACAGCAAAATTAAGATACTTTAGAGGGGTATAGTGGAAGAGGAGATAGGAGGTTCACAGTTGATGTAGCAACTCATTGCCAATTAAAGCATAGTGTGTTCACATTAAAAGTGGGTCTGTCAGAAAGACATGCAGACAAAAATGATGATGTAGATATAGGCGTAGAATGAAGGGACAGAAGTTGCAATGTTTGATAGGGAGTCGCAATAACTGACATGTGGTTCTTTAAGGGGCATGAGGGGACTGCCCAAGAGAGACCATATTTGTGAAAGGGAACCAAGGCAGTACAGTAGGACCCCGTAAAGTGTATAAGTTTCATGAAGTTTGCCCAAAAATAAGAAGAGGAAAAAATAAAATAATGATTTTTGATTTGGCAACACCTTGGTAAAATTTATGCTAAATTGTTAATGTTTAGGATGTTATAGTTGACTTTACATAAACAAGGCTAAAGATGAATTGTATAGAAGGAATTGAACAACACGTCATTATTTTGTATCCTAAAATTTTTAAGCAGAGATGCTCTTAAGTGTCCCCATTTCTGAGACAACATGAATTACATTTGGAATATAGAATGACTGGGGGCAACAAATAGATGTAGAGGGCATAGTATACAAGTATACCATGGTTGCACAAGGCAGTGAGTAGAAAAACCCCTTTTATGGTATTGCAGTTGTACTGCAAGGCAGAAACCAAGAAGGCTTGCTAAACCTTTTGGATACCCGTATGACCCAAGCGAGTTTAACACTTAGTTATGATTGTAATAATAATAATACTTTGTTTATAGACAGCAATAAACCCCTTAAGTCTTTGTTTTTAAAAGACTCTGACAAAGCATTAAAAATATTAAGCTAGAAGAGCGTGGTGATTCAACTTACAAAAGCAAAGCAGTAGACACTTCCTTTGCATTGGATAAAAAGAACTTGTAAAGCTTAAGACTACCCTCAACAAGCACATATAGTTCCTGCAAGGAAGAACATAAAACATTACTGATTTCTCTCTCTGCATAGATTTGCTGTTATGCAATACTCCATTTCTATCAGTGATTCAATTAGTGTAATATACATCTGGTGTATGTAATCAGTACAACTTGCAGAGTAAGTGTTGATGGCCTGACTGAGCTTATTACAACTGCCAAGGGCCTGGAACAAATCTACTGCATAAACAAGAGACATCAGTATAGAATGACAAGGAAGAAATAAAAATCATAGAATGGGAGAACAGCATTTATTGAAAGGTCAATAAGAAAATGGAACAGACCATCATGCAGCACTGCCATGTAATCAAGCCAGGAAAAAGAATAAACTGAGAGTAAAGGGATACTGTACCACCTTATGCTTCACCAAAAGGTGTGTTGCCATTTTAGCTAAAACTTGTTTCAGAAATATTTGCTAAAGCAGTACAGTGGAACACAGAAAGATTGGCTTGATTGGGGTCAAAGGTGATTAATCTGAGCTTTGGGTCTGTACAGTTCAACAAAATTGAATGCTAAATCCAAAAAGAAATTTAAGGGAAAATCACAATAGCAATAAAATAAAAAAAAAATTCAATGTACTTACCTAAAGATATTGTCCTTTTCTTCTTGTACAGTATACATACATCATGTAATTCATGTGTTAGGTATGGTTACAATGCAAAATATTAGTTGAATACTGAAATTCCTTTCAAAATATAGAATTTGCCAGGTGCCACAGTGCATCAGCTGTACTCATATTAACATTTTATTGCCAGTAATTACATGCCTTATCAAGCACCATCATGTAATTCACATACGTAAGATGATGAGGCAGATTGTTGGTGTTGAACACTGAAATTTCCTAAAAAGAAAACATTTTTTTTACACTGATACTCACCAGTGTCATACGTACCTATCTTATATAAATTTTATCTGCTATAAATGTTGCCATACTAATAATTACCCTGTACTTTACAGTAACTTGAATGAGTGCCCTACAAATATAATAAATATAAATAATGGTAAATGAGGAAAATATAAATCAAATAGGACTTGCAACTTATTGCATTTCCTGAAACAGGTCTCAAGTTCATTATAACAGGAAGTAGAGGATTCTGCTCACTGTCTTTATATCCATACCTGTCAGCATTATGGCAGGAACATGGCATATCAGTTAACTAACAGATCACCAAAAATTATTAATGTACTGAATTGTTAACAAATTTTGGCATAATTCCAAAATTTGAATCATAAATCCCCAAATCTGGAAGCTATCAAAACATGGGTGTTAATTAATGAAATTGCAAGTCCTGAAATTCGTGACAGAGATATGACTATTGTATTAACAAATCCCACTAAGTAGAAGACAGTTTGCATCCTGCCCAAACAAACTTGACTGACTGGGGTAGCAACTAGCTACTGTTGGTTTTAAGGCAAGACATATAGAACCTGTACACAATCAAAAAACTATGACCAGACATGTTATTACCAAGTTTGTCAAAGTCAACCAAAATTTACTCTCGAGCATAGAAATTCCTCCAAGTAAAATGTACATCATTTTCAAACTATCTAACCAAACATTCCGATTACCCGAGGAATCAGTTGCTAACTTTTCATGTTCCACTGTACTGGAAATGCACTGTTATATTTTCAGAAATAAATTCTTGAAGTTTTCTGGTCAAGAGTTTTTGAGACACAGGAACAATATGGCAGCCTTTCAAGTACTCCATCATCATCTCATAACTCAAGTGAGTAATAAATGGTATCTTAATACATTCCTTCTTGACCAAATACTTGGCTAAGAAATAAAAGTCAAATCAGAAGGAATTTATTTTTTTACATAATTATGTACAAAAGAGTAATCAGAATTAAATATGTTATTAGGTGTAAGAAAATAAACAATCTGAATATCTCATAAGAATTGGTATATGGTTCATTTCTCACAAATAATGAGTTTTTATAGCCTGATATTGTATTAACCATTTTGGGCAAATTATTCCATGGATTTTTATGTAGTAGAAAAAATAGTTGTTTTTTTCACAATATGATACCGTATATAAATAATTACAGGCATACTACGCCTGGCTCTTAGAATACATTGTCTTACATGAGGCTGATTTCAGCCTAAACACAATGAGCCTGAGATGTATTACACTATATTTGTTTTTCTACATATAGTATATAGCTATTCAAATATGTATGTTTAAGTTATCTGAGCTGCTTACCATATAACTAGCTAAGCCTATGGACAGATTGATACAATAACAGACACGACTAATCAACAGTTAAAAAAAATTCACTGTAAACTCGTGCAAGGATCAACAAAATATCTTTGCCATGTGTGGAAAATCATACCCACAAACAGACATGTGGCTTCAAGAAATATTTATTCATAAATAATACACCATTCCCTTTTTCTTTTTATAATTATTAACTGTTATGCCACTCTTGGCTTTGGTATACAATTGCTGCAAAATTTGGTTGGGAAGAAAATGTACATTACAGGCCAGAATTTCTAAAAATGGGGCCCCGAGGTTCAATCCAACACCAAGGATTGTTTTTTCTTTTTTTATATGTATAGAAAATTCATTAATGCAAATAAAATTCTTTAGTAAATAAGTACATCTCAAAGACTTCCAGCAAGTGTCTATGAGCGTGTTACATAGGAGTAAATGGAGACGAATGGTTTTTGGAACCTGACGAGCTATTGGAGTGTGAGCAGGGTAATATTTAGTGAAGGGATTCAGGGAAACCGGTTATTATAGATTTAGCCAGACTCGAGTCCTGGAAATGGGAAGTACAATGCTTGCACTTTAAAGGAGGGGTCTAGGATATTGATAGTTTGGAAGGACTTATAAACTGTCGTATCTGAGTGCCTCTGCAAAGACAGTGATTATGTATGAGTGAGGTGAAAGTGTTGAATGATGATAAAAGTATTTTCTTTTTGGGGATTTTCTTTGTTTTTGGGTCACACTGCCTTGGTGGGAGATGGCCGACTTGTTGAAAAAAAAACTCGAGTACATGAGCTAATTGAAACAAATTTTGCAGAATGTTTCTTCCAATCAAGTGGTATCCAAATATGAGACTTACTGGAATGACAGGAAATCTATTCAAAGGGGCCAACTATTTATGAAGTAATAACATAAGCCACATTTTGATATGCACAATTATGATAAGGGGTTTTGCATAAATATAAAAACAGGAATAATATTTACTTCACTTGTAACATAACCAGTGTATTAACATTCCATTCAAGCTGAATATAAAGCCTGCCAATACCTGAATAAAAATGACCTAAACATCTTACTGATGTATAGTCCCAGAATACCAGCAGCTCAAATAAATAACATATCAAAACAGCATACTTTGCACACAGCTGTTTGTATTATGTAAATTAAAATGACTAACCTTATAAGGAACATTCTGGAGGAAAAAGTAAGTAAATCTCACTCATTTCACTAATCCTGAAAAAAAATTTCAGCATCAAAAGTTATGCACATGTATAATGTTAAAATACTCATTATACTTGTAACATATTACTGTAGTGTACTTGTAGAAAGTTAACAACACTAAAGACTATAAATGTTACGGATGTGCTCCATTTCCACTCTGAGACTTTTGGTCTGTCGTTCCATCCTCTTTATCTCGCTTGAGTTTCTTTGCTCTGATGTCTGCTAATGCTTCCTCTATGGTTCGCTTGTCCTTCTTTAACTCACTGCGAACTGAAGACAACGTGATAAGGAACAATCAGTAATAAAAAAAATTAAAATCCTATGCACTTTCAAGCTAGAGTACAGCAGACATACAGTGCTTGCTAAGTGTATCCCTACTCAATCCTCCCTACATAACTAGCTATAATTCATACACTGCTCTACAATGTCAAAATCTATATACAGTACCTATGCATTCCAATTAACGTCATTAAAGCATTTATAGTTACTACTACATACAATTGTCTCAACACAGCCACACTAAATTGAAATTCAATATTTTAAACTGCTATACACAAATAACCCGCACATAAAAGAGAGAAGCTTACGACAACGTTTCGGTCCGACTTGGACCATTTATAAAGTCACACAGTGTGACTTTGTAAATGGTCCAAGTCGGACCGAAACGTCATCGTAAGCTTCTCTCTTTTATGTGCGGGTTATTTGTGTATCGTTCCAATCACGGTATTGTGCCTTTTTTTGTTATTTTAAACTGCTACTTTGCTAGTTTGGAAAATTGATCTCTATTTTGACTAGTAACTGTTCTATATATGCTGAACTTGGCATATGCCCATTCATTTCCTGTAACATCAATATGACCTAGGCACCAAAAGAACTCCATATCCTTGTGCTGTACATGGAGACAGGCTAACCACTTCTGAATTTTTTGTGCCATTGGATGGGCAAAAGCCTACTGGATTAGGAATCAGAGTAGACAGTGAACAAAAATACACCTATGCTAGCTATCAGGAAGAGAGTAGCAATGACTGTGTGAAGCTCTGCAGTGAAAACAAGAGGACTTTTGGAAGCCTTGCACAATGCAAGTTCTCACCAGCAATCACATCAAAGTCAACCCATCCCACCCATCCTACAGCACTTCAGTAAAATCCTTGATTTTAAAGCATAATCAAAATCATGCTCCAAGAAACTGACCAAGGTCATCATCAGAACTTGGCACTTACCGTCCCCATGCACTACCTACAAAGAGGCACCTCAGGAACTGTCCCAGGAGAGAAGGTATAGAACCAACTCCTCTATATTTTGCACATAATACAGTCCACATTCTTAAATACCTTGATTTTTTTAACAGAAATGAACTCCTCAAGGTGGGTGTCTTGATTCTGGTAGGGGCTCTCAATCCAGGAAATTGGATCTAGTCTCCCCTCCTTGGATGAAACCTGACTGCCTCCCATTATGAAGGCACTATGACCCCTATGGGTCTCTTTTTTTTTTTTTTTCAACATGTCAGCCATTTCCTACCGAGGCAAGTTGACCCAATAAAGGAAAAAACTTTCATCATCATTCAACACTTTCACCATCATTCATACATAATCTCTGTTTTTGCAAAGGAGCTCAGATATGACAGTTTAGATGTCCCTCCAAACTGCCAATATCCCCAACCCCTCCTTTAAAGTGCAGTCATATAGTATTATAATAAGTAAAGCTGAATTTACTGCACAAATTTTTACTTCAATTTTTAGCCCATGAACACACCTTTGCACCTTGACGCTGAGAGGCTCTTGGTCCAAGTAACTGAACCTGTCCTCCCTTCACTGGACTGAACCTGAATGCCTCCCCTTTTCTGTGATTTGTTTGCAATCGAATTATGATTTCATGAACAATAATATAGTAATATCTTTAAATTATTCTTGTTCAGTACCAGCACCTCTCCTTATTTTAGTCTGTAGTCTTGCAATTTTGCTTCACATTCCTTAATAATACTAATAGCCAATCAAATATCATGACCAAGAAGAGGAATGAGAATTATTATAATGTTCATCTCCCCCTCTCTCATAATCAAAGGAACTGCTATCACCTTTCCCTTCTAAAGCCACTGTATGGCCCCCACAGGTTTAATGCTTTATAATTAATAAACAGTACTGTAGTCACAAAGAAGTGTCAAACCCACTACTTCCAGGGAGCTTTACAAGTGTTTTTTCTCAGTTTTTTACTGTCCAGGATTTTAGGAGCCTTTCCATCACAAAGTTCTTGAAAGCTACTTGCTTTCTTATTTCTTCCCATATACTAGCACCATATACATATATTTATTTGTAAAGCAATTTATTTCAATAGCCAAAATTCTTTATCTACCCATCTCATGCAATAGGTAATATAGCATACAAAATTATACATACCAAAACCAAACTGTTTGTTAACCTCCAATATTCTGGCTGATTCCTTGCCTGTTTCTTTTCCAACCAAGCGTTCATATTTTTCAATGAACTTGTTAGATCCAGGGTCTTTCTTCAGTTGCTGTGCTCTCAATTCATCTTCATATTCTTGTTGTTTTCTCTGTAATATATGCAAGAGAAGAGGTAAGGAGAGGCAGAGACAAAGGTCAGTCAAGTCATGAGTGTTTTGAAGATTAGAGCATTTGACAATGTAGTAGTGAGAAAGAAAGGCATCTACAGAGACGAAACACTTTTGTACAAAATAAACACCTATTTGCAAACTATATTTGTTACAACTTTTATGTATCAATATCATTATACAAATTAACCATAACTTAAAATATAACTTGTCCTTACAAGAAGGGCTGCTTCCTTTGCTTTTTCTGGATCCCATTCTTCACCACTTTTATATGCATCTAATTCCTCTTCAGTTAATGGATACTCTTTCTTAAACACCATTACATGACGGTCAAAATCCTCAGTCCCAAAGGCATAGGTAGTGAGGCCAGCAACATCTGCTACATCACGTCTGTAAAAAACAAAATACATGACCACCATAAGGCCAGGCACAACTTAAATGATAAGGAAGCACTCTATTCATAGTATTAATGCACTTATCTATAATTACTTTTTGTGTTTTTAATTAATGTTATATTCACAATAGTGCTAAACACATGCAGATCATTTAGCATTGCTTCTTTTCTTAATTTTGACTGATAATTGTATCATAATCTTGCCAGTGATACTGTGGGTAAAAAAGACACTTATGAAACATTTAGGACATTTTATCAGAAGACATATTGTCCACTAAAGGCTTCACAAAATGTCCTAAAATTTGAACACAAATCTTAACTCGGTTAATAAATCTCAGAAAAGAAGTAAATATCAATCTTTTCAGTGATTCCTTTAAAAAAAGCTTGACTACTGCACAGAGAAAGGGGATATAATACTGTATACAGTGGGTTGATACTAGCATCTTCAATAAACCAGAATGTACCCTTCATACTGAATGAGCAGTTTGCATCTCCAAGTCTCTGTCTAGTTACTGTATATGCAAATTCTCTCTTTATTTTGCATTACATCATATTATAATCATAAGGAAGTGGTCAACCCACAGGGATGTCATACAGTGCCTGGGAAATGGGAGGTAATCAGGTATAATCCAAAGAAGAGAAGGGTAGCATTACTTCCTTGGAACAAGGACCCTTCACCAACATCAAAGCCAAATCCCTCGAGGAGTAGTTCCTAGATGTAGTTTTCCTCATAGGTAAACACCTTTTCAAGTAGGAATGGTTAAATTCAACAAAACACCATGACTCTTACACAATACTCCTTGCCACTCTGTCCATTGGCTCAAATTTCTTTTTCATTAAGGTGACATTTTGAATAAATCTATTTATTCGTTCTTCAATCTGCAATAAAGAAAAAATAATTTTAGCATAAAAATAGACATATGCAGGATCTTTTACAAATCATATGCTACAAAAATATACCCTTCAAGAGAGACATTTCAATACCGGTGTAAGCTCTTAATTCAAGGAATTGACCCTACCCTCCCCTTCCTTGGATCAAACCTGACTGCCTTCCATTTTCAAAGTATTGTATGACCCTTATGGGTTTAGGGCCTCATGGCTTCTTTTTGATTATAATAATAATAATAATCAGGGCCTCATGAATTTAATAATATTAATGCAGAAATATATAATACATTGCAAATAATAATAATACATTTATAGTAGTAGTAATAATAATAATATGCAGTACTCTAATTAATGATAAAAATACTTACAAGTTTTCTGAACTGATTTAATCTTTCTCTCTCCTTGTTTTTTGCCTCTTCAACTGCTTTCTGTTGCTCTGTAAACAAAAAACAATGCAACAGTGGTGCATGATAAAAAAAAATGCCCTACATACAGAAACAAAGAACTGATGTTATAGAATTAGTATTCTGAACAACATAACTGGATGGATAAAATAAAGGAAAGTGTTAAAGATGGCTGTAGTCCCCTATAAGCTGAGAGAGTACAGTTTATAGGGGAATAAATCTGTTAACTATACAATGGTAGCAACTGAAGTATATGGCAGAAATGTGATTGATAATGATTGGAAAAACAATTATCATCATCATCAAAGATGGCATTATACAGTTATTTGCCAATACCGATATTCAATTTTAGGCCGATACCATTAAAATGGCTAATACCCTCTGATACCAGTTTTACCTGGAGTTTACCTGGAGAGAGTTTCGGGGGTCAACGCCCCCGCGGCCCGGTCTGTGACCAGGCCTCCTGGTGGATCAGCGCCTGATCAACCAGGCTGTTGCTGCTGGCTGCACGCAAACCAACGTACAAGCCACAGCCCGGCTGATCAGGAACTGACTTTAGGTGCTTGTCCAGTGCCAGCTTGAAGACTGCCAGGGGTCTGTTGGTAATCCCCCTTATGTGTGCTGGGAGGCAGTTGAACAGTCTCGGGCCCCTGACACTTATTGTATGGTCTCTTAACGTGCTAGTGACACCCCTGCTTTTCATTGGGGGGATGGTGCATCGTCTGCCAAGTCTTTTGCTTTCGTAGTGAGTGATTTTCGTGTGCAAGTTCGGTACTAGTCCCTCTAGGATTTTCCAGGTGTATATAATCATGTATCTCTCCCTCCTGCGTTCCAGGGAATACAGGTTTAGAAACCTCAAGCGCTCCCAGTAATTGAGGTGTTTTATCTCCGTTATGCGCGCCGTGAAAGTTCTCTGTACATTTTCTAGGTCGGCAATTTCACCTGCCTTGAAAGGTGCTGTTAGAGTGCAGCAATATTCCAGCCTAGATAGAACAAGTGACCTGAAGAGTGTCATCATGGGCTTGGCCTCCCTAGTTTGAAGGTTCTCATTATCCATCCTGTCATTTTTCTAGCAGATGCGATTGATACAATGTTATGGTCCTTGAAGGTGAGATCCTCCGACATAATCACTCCCAGGTCTTTGACGTTGGTGTTTCGCTCTATTTTGTGGCCAGAATTTGTTTTGTACTCTGATGAAGATTTAATTTCCTCATGTTTACCATATCTGAGTAATTGAAATTTCTCATCGTTGAACTTCATATTGTTTTCTGCAGCCCACTGAAAGATTTGGTTGATGTCCGCCTGGAGCCTTGCAGTGTCTGCAATGGAAGACACTGTCATGCAGATTCGGGTGTCATCTGCAAAGGAAGACACGGTGCTGTGGCTGACATCCTTGTCTATGTCGGATATGAGGATGAGGAACAAGATGGGAGCTAGTACTGTGCCTTGTGGAACAGAGCTTTTCACCGTAGCTGCCTCGGACTTTACTCTGTTGACGACTACTCTCTGTGTTCTGTTAGTGAGGAAATTATAGATCCATCGACCAACTTTTCCTGTTATTCCTTTAGCGCGCATTTTGTGCGCTATTACGCCATGGTCACACTTGTCGAAGGCTTTTGCAAAGTCTGTATATATTACATCTGCATTCTTTTTGTCTTCTAGTGCATTTAGGACCTTGTCGTAGTGATCCAGTAGTTGAGACAGACAGGAGCGACCTGTTCTAAACCCATGTTGCCCTGGGTTGTGTAACTGATGGGTTTCTAGATGGGTGGTGATCTTGCTTCTTAGGACCCTTTCAAAGATTTTTATGATATGGGATGTTAGTGCTATTGGTCTGTAGTTCTTTGCTGTTGCTTTACTGCCCCCTTTGTGGAGTGGGGCTATGTCTGTTGTTTTTAGTAACTGAGGGACGACCCCCGTGTCCATGCTCCCTCTCCATAGGATGGAAAAGGCTCGTGATAGGGGCTTCTTGCAGTTCTTGATGAACACAGAGTTCCATGAGTCTGGCCCTGGGGCAGAGTGCATGGGCATGTCATTTATCGCCTGTTCGAAGTCATTTGGCGTCAGGATAACATCGGATAGGCTTGTGTTAATCAAATTTTGTGGCTCTCTCATAAAAAATTCATTTTGATCTTCGACTCTCAGCCTGGTTAGCGGCTTGCTAAAAACTGAGTCATATTGGGACTTGAGTAGCTCACTCATTTCCTTGCTGTCATCTGTGTAGGACCCATCTTGTTTAAGTAGGGGCCCAATACTGGACGTTGTTCTCGATTTTGATTTGGCATAGGAGAAGAAATACTTTGGGTTTCTTTCGATTTCATTTATGGCTTTTAGTTCTTCCCGCGATTCCTGACTCCTAAAGGATTCTTTTAGCTTAAGTTCGATGCTTGCTATTTCTCTGACCAGTGTCTCCCTGCGCATTTCTGATATATTGACCTCTTTTAGCCGCTCTGTTATTCTTTTCCGTCGCCTGTAAAGGGAGCGCCTGTCTCTTTCTATTTTACATCTACTCCTCCTTTTTCTTAGAGGAATAAGCCTCATACCATGAAAATTAGCTGATACCCACCAATACTGATACTTTGACATACCCGTATCATTGTTCGCAAAGACATTAAATAAATAAATAAATTATTATTAGTCATGGGAATGAGCTAAACCTATACAATGGCCAGGGACAGGGAGGCAATCAAGTTCAATCCAAGGAAGGTGAGGATAGGCTCAATTCCTTGGATTAAGAGTTCATTATCACCAAGGCACCTCCCTCAAAGGGACTGGAAAGATAAATTATGACTAAAGAAAAAATTTAGACCGTTATTGGAGCTATCTAAGAAAACCTCAGGAAATCTTTAAAAAACTTGCCCCATACTCTAACTCTTACTGTTGCTATTAAATCTATAGTTTACCCTTGGATGAGAAGTATTAAGGGTATTATCTTAGTGCCTTGGGAATGGGAGGACATATCGTGTCCTGGGAATGGGAAGACATATAGTGTCCTGGGAATGGGAGGATATACAGTGTCCTGGGAATGGGAGGACATATACTGTCCTGGGAATGGGAGGATATAGTGTCCTGGGAATGGGAGGATATACAGTGTCCTGGGAATGGGGGGGGTATAGTGTCCTGGGAATGGGAGGGCATATACTGTCCTGGGAATGGGAGGGCATATACTGTCCTGGGAATGGGAGGACATATAGTACCCTGGGAATGGGAGGACATATATTACCCTGGGAATGGGAGGACATAGTGTCCTGGGAATGGGAGGACATAGTGTCCTGGGAATGGGAGGACATAGTGTCCTGGGAATGGGAGGACATAGTGTCCTGGGAATGGGAGGACATAGTGTCCTGGGAATGGGAGGACATAGTGTCCTGGGAATGGGAGGACATAGTGTCCTGGGAATGGGAGGACATAGTGTCCTGGGAATGGGAGGACATAGTGTCCTGGGAATGGGAGGACATAGTGTCCTGGGAATGGGAGGACATAGTGTCCTGGGAATGGGAGGACATAGTGTCCTGGGATGGGAGGACATAGTGTCCTGGGAATGGGAGGACATAGTGTCCTGGGAATGGGAGGACATAGTGTCCTGGGAATGGGAGGACATAGTGTCCTGGGAATGGGAGGACATAGTGTCCTGGGAATGGGAGGACATAGTGTCCTGGGAATGGGAGGACATAGTGTCCTGGATGGGGAATAGTGCTGGGAATGGGGGACATAGTGTCCTGGGAATGGGAGGACATAGTGTCCTGGGAATGGGAGGACATAGTGTCCTGGGAATGGGAGGACATAGTGTCCTGGGAATGGGTGGCCTGGTGGCTAAAGCTCCCGCTTCACACACGGAGGGCCTGGGTTCGATTCCCGGCGGGTGGAAACATTCCGACACGTTTCCTTACACCTGTTGTCCTGTTCACCTAGCAGCAAATAGGTACCTGGGTGTTAGTCGACTGGTGTGGGTCGCATCCTGGGGGACAAGATTAAGGACCCCAATGGAAATAAGTTAGACAGTCCTCGATGACGCACTGACTTTCTTGGGTTATCCTGGGTGGCTAACCCTCCGGGGTTAAAAATCCGAACGAAATCTTATCTCTCTTATCATGGACCGGGCCATGAGGGGGCACTAACCCCCGGAACACCCTCCAGGTAAGGGGAGAGTAGATCCAACTCCCTGGATTAAGAGTTCCTCTCCACCATCAAGTGACCTCTCCTTAAGGGAGTTATTATGGGGTAAATTACCTCTTAACATCTTCCTTTGTTTATCAGTTACACTTGGCGGCTTATCCATTTTGCTCATTATGGAGTCTAGGAGATCCATGGTGGTGATGCTGTTGCTGGGTTATCTACGTGTTGCAACGACTAATGAACTTGGAATTAGCTAGGGAACTTTAAATTTTCTAAGCTGAAGATGCAGGTTATTCCACAAAAGATGCAACTGCAGTGTTATTGCAAGATAAAGACGTAGGAACCAGTGTTGTGAAGAGCCTTGTTGTTCTTGTTGGTAATTATGGGCTGCTGCAACTTGAGCCGTATTGAGCTAACACTCGGCTAGATGTATTAAAATAATAATAATAATAATTATTATTATTATTATACACAAAACCTACACATAGGAGAATGAAACTTATAATGACGTTTCGGTCCTACTTGGACCATTGACTAACTAACTGTCCAAGTCAGACCGAAATGTCGTCATAAGTTCAATTCTTGTTTGGGTTATCCTAGGTAATTTACACACGTTACTATGTATTTAATTATTATTAATTTGGACATGATACATAAATGTACAAAGAAATACAGTGGTTAAGTGTAACATGCCAAAAGCCCCTTGTATGCAGAGCAATATGGGCAGGCTTAAAATTAACTCAAGATTTACTAAGCAATGATATATTCAGTGGTAAACATTATAGTAAACAAATAACAATTAAGCACAAATGAGTATTTTAAAGACAGGTCATATGGTCATTTACTGAGTTACTGTGTATTCAGTAGAATGGAGTATTCTGTTAGGGAATGTAATTAAAAAAAAGTTTGATAGGGTCACAGGTTAAACATTTATGAGATACAATTATTCAGTATTTATTTAGTTGTGGGTGAGTAAGTGATTTTTAAGAAGAGACTTGAATTTATAAACAGTGTTTCTTTTATATTCCCAGGTGATGAATTCCAGATTTTTGGGCCTTTTATGTGCATTGAGTTTTTGCATAGTGCGAGATGGACACGAGGAACATCAAAGAGTGACCTGTGCCTTGTGTTATGGTCATGTGTTCTGCTGGGGTTGGTAAGGAGACGTTTGAGGGGAGGGTTTATATCCGAGTTAAGTGTTCTATGTATGTAATAGGTACAATAATAAGTATGGATGGATGTTTTGTACGGTGAGTAGGTTTAGAGTTTTAAATATTGGTGGAGTGTGCTGCCTGTAGTGGGAATTTGTTATCATTCTAACTGCAGCCTTTTGTTGGGTTTACCTGGAGTTTACCTGGAGAGAGTTCCGGGGGTCAACGCCCCCGCGGCCCGGTCTGTGACCAGGCCTCCTGGTGGATCAGAGCCTGATCAACCAGGCTGTTGCTGCTGGCTGCACGCAAACCAACGTACGAGCCACAGCCCGGCTGGTCAGGAACCGACTTTAGGTGCTTGTCCAGTGCCAGCTTGAAGACTGCCAGGGGTCTGTTGGTAATCCCCCTTATGTATGCTGGGAGGCAGTTGAACAGTCTCGGGCCCCTGACACTTGTTGTATGGTCTCTTAACGTGCTAGTGACACCCCTGCTTTTCATTCAAAATTCAAAATTTAAATTCAAAGTTTATTCTCTATAAGGATTACAATGCTGAGATTACAGAAATTTGGTTATTGTATGGTTTACATGTAGTAAAATAGTGATTACAGAGTGTACCACTAGAACGGGGGGATGTTGCATCGTCTGCCAAGTCTTTTGCTTTCGTAGTGAGTGATTTTCGTGTGCAAGTTCGGTACTAGTCCCTCTAGGATTTTCCAGGTGTATATAATCATGTATCTCTCCCGCCTGCGTTCCAGGGAATACAGTTTTAGGAACCTCAAGCGCTCCCAGTAATTGAAGTGTTTTATTTCCGTTATGCGCGCCGTGAAGGTTCTCTGTACATTTCTACCCTCAAGGAGAGATTCCCCAGATGAGTGTGGTGTAGGGGCTCTTGATTTAGGTTAATTGTTTTTTCGATCTGTGCTCAGTTGCCATTAAGCTGAGATGCCTTCCACATACCCCCAGGCTGCGTTGTTTATCCTCGTGGTTTGTGCGCTTCCCCTTGATTGTAATTATAATTGTACTGTTTTCTAGGTCAGCAATTTTTCACCAGCCTTGAAAGGTGCTGTTAGTGTGCAGCAATATTCCAGCCTAGATAGAACAAGTGACTGCATGAAGAGTGTCATATTGGGCATTGCTCCCTAGTTTGAAGGTGTGCAGTTATCATCCTGTCTTTTTCTATGCAAGATGACAAGATGATACAATGTTATGGTCCTTGGAAGGTGTAGTCCTCGAATGATCGTTCCTCAGGTCTTTGTACGTTGGTGTTTTCGCCTATTTTGTTGGCCAGAATTTTGTTTTGTACTCTGATGAAGTTTTAATTCTCGTGTTTAACCATATCTGAGTATTGAAATTTCTTCATCGTTGAACTTCATAGTTGTTCGCAGCCTACTGAAAGATTTGGTTGATGTACTGCTGGGTCTATGAGTGTCTGCATTGGAAGACACTGTATGAAGATTCGGGTGTCTCTGCATAGGAAGTACGGTGCTGTGGCTGACATCTTGTCTATGTGGATATGGGTATGGTGTAGTAACGTGGGAGCGGGGTTACTGTGCCATTTTGGAACAGCTTTTCACCGTGCTGCTCGAACTTTACTTGTTGGTATTCTGTGTTCTGTTAGTGAGGAAATTATAGATCCATCGACCGACTTTTCCTGTTATTCCTTTAGCACGCATTTTGTGCGCTATTACGCCATGGTCACACTTGTCAAAGGCTTTTGCAAAGTCTGTATATATTACATCTGCATTCTTTTTGTCTAATAGTGCATTTAGGACCTTGTCGTAGTGATTCAATAGTTGAGACAGACAGGAGCGACCTGTTCTAAACCCATGTTGCCCTGGGTTGTGTAACTGATGGGTTTCTAGATGGGTGGTGATCTTGCTTCTTAGGACCCTTTCAAAGATTTTTATGATATGGGATGTTAGTGCTATTGGTCTGTAGTTCTTTGCTGTTGCTTTACTGCCCCCTTTGTGGAGTGGGGCTATGTCTGTTGTTTTTAGTAACTGTGGGACGACCCCCGTGTCCATGCTCCCTCTCCATAGGATGGAAAAGGCTCGTGATAGGGGCTTCTTGCAGTTCTTGATGAACACGGAGTTCCATGAGTCTGGCCCTGGGGCAGAGTGCATGGGCATGTCATTTATCGCCTGTTCGAAGTCATTTGGCGTCAGGATAACATCGGATAGGCTTGTGTTAACCAAATTTTGTGGCTCTCTCATAAAAAATTCATTTTGATCTTCGACTCTCAGTCTGGTTAGCGGCTTGCTAAAAACTGAGTCATATTGGGACTTGAGTAGCTCACTCATTTCCTTGCTGTCATCTGTGTAGGAACCATCTTGTTTAAGTAGGGGCCCAATACTGGACGTTGTTCTCGACTTTGATTTGGCATAGGAGAAGAAATACTTTGGGTTTCTTTCGATTTCATTTATGGCTTTTAGTTCTTCCCGCGATTCCTGACTCCTAAGATAAGATAAGATAAGATTTCGTTCGGATTTTTAACCCCGGAGGGTTAGCCACCCAGGATAACCCAAGAAAGTCAGTGCGTCATCGAGGACTGTCTAACTTATTTCCATTGGGGTCCTTAATCTTGTCCCCCAGGATGCGACCCACACCAGTCGACTAACACCCAGGTACCTATTTGCTGCTAGGTGAACAGGACAATAGGTGTAAGGAAACGTGTCGGAATTTCCACCCGCCGGGAATCGAACCCGGGCCCTCCGTGTGTGAAGCGGGAGCTTTAGCCACCAGCCACCGATGCTTGCTATTTCTCTGACCAGTGTCTCCCTACGCATTTCAGATATATTGACCTCTTTTAGCCGCTCTGTTATTCTTTTCCGTCGCCTGTAAAGGGAGCGCCTGTCTCTTTCTATTTTACATCTACTCCTCCTTTTTCTTAGAGGAATAAGCCTTGTGCATACATCGAGTGCCACCAAGTTAATCTGTTCTAGGCATAAGATGGGGTCTGTGTTGCTTAGTATATCTTCCCAGCTTATATCGGTTAGGACTTGGTTTACTTGGTCCCACTTTATGTTTTTGTTATTGAAGTTGAATTTGGTGAATGCTCCCTCGTGACTAGTCTCATTATGTCGGTCTGGGGCTCCATGCATACATGTCTGAACCTCAATTATGTTGTGATCTGAGTATATTGTTTTTGATATGGTGACATTTCTTATCAGATCATCATTGTTAGTGAAGATGAGGTCTAGTGTATTCTCCAGTCTAGTAGGCTCTATTATTTGCTGGTTTAAATTGAATTTTGTGCAGAGATTTAAAAGCTCGTGTGAGTGTGAGTTTTCATCAGAGCTGCCTCCTGGTGTTATTACTGCAACAATATTATTTGCTATATTCTTCCATTTTAGGTGCCTTAAGTTGAAATCCCCCAGGAGCAAGATGTTGGGTGCAGGAGCTGGAAGATTTTCCAGACCACCATAAAAACCAACAACCAGCACCATAAAAACCAACAACCACCACCACCATAAAAACCAACCAGCATCATAAAACCCAACAACTACCACCACCATAAAAACCAACAACCAGCACCATAGAAACCAACAACCACCACCACCATAAAAACCAACCAGCATCATAAAACCCAACAACTACCACCACCATAAAAACCAACAACCAGCACCATAAAAACCAACACCCACCACCACCATAAAAACCAACCAGCATCATAAAACCCAACAACTACCACCACCAAAACTCTCGAAAACTCCCGAAACTCTCTCCAGGTAAACCATAAAAACCAACAACCAGCACCATAAAAACCAACAACAACCAGCACCATCACATGAAAACCAACAACAACCTGCAATATGAACAACAACAACCAGCACCACCAACAAGAATCCCATATATAGTAATGCAAGTTGTTATTAAACAGTAACTATTAAATTTAACTATTTAAGTTACATGGCTACACAATACATTCTTAATATCAACAATAAAAATTAATATAAATGAACATATAAGCTGCATATAAAATCGAACAAGTGAAGTATTGTATATACAGTTTATAAGAGTTCCTCTATAAAGTGTAATTTTGTGTAAATACAATAGAAAAATGCATCCAAAATTGATTAGCACGTTAAACTATGTATGATAATTTTACTTATAATAATTGTACTTAAATAAACTTAGTAAGTTTATTTAGATACAAGTACACACAAGTACAATTATCATATATAGTGTAAATTACATAGGATAACGTAAAAAAAAGTCAAAATGACTTAAATCCACTGGGTGAAAAGCTTCGTTGTACAGTACGTGATATTTAGTTGTGGACACTTTTTCAATTGCATTTACCAAAAAAATCCCCCTATATGGAATAGCTTTATGAGAAAGCTTACTGTAGTCACTGTAGATATATAAATGTGATATTTAATAATGACTTCAACTGAGACATGACAAAAATTTACTCAAAATGATATATGAGTGTGAGTCCCAGGCTGGGCCGGTGACCGGCTGCTCTCAGGAGCTGTACTGTCGCAGCTGAGAAAAAAGGGACTTGTGACTCAATTATTAAGGAGGAAATAACGCCCCAAAAAAGGATTGAAGGAATATGCCACCGTGCCCAGGGCAGAAGAAGAAGTTCATGCACCACCCAGGCCGTCAAACAACATATAAAACCATCGTAGAAGTCTGAAATACCAGTTTCTTGTAAGTTAGTTTGTAAACAAACCTTATATCCTGGGCCATCCGGTAAATAAATCCCTTCACTTTGAAATTAAATGGGTTCTTTTTTTTTTTTACATATTCCACTACAGAGTACACGGAATAATTAGGTTGTTTCCAGGGACTAACTGATGTTAATGGGTGGTTTTGTGGGCGTGGAGGTGGGTGTGGGCGGCTCTGCTGGCACATACCTCCCTCATTTCCTATTTTATTTTTATTTATTACACTATACAGACAAATTTATAATTTTACAATGATGGTGAGGGTACATGAATGTTATGAGCATACATATAGAGCACATTATGTAGTTTTAACATAGATAACCTAGTCTGGACTTACAATGGTATACGTATTTAAATTGGAGTCAGACTGTCTCGCCATAACTCTTAGTTATCATAATTACTGGATGACTTGTGTCAGCCAGTAACACTGACTCTTGTGTTAGTGACACTGATTCATGTGTCAGCCAGTAACACTGACTTTTGTGTTAGTGACACTGATTCATGTGTCAGCCAGTAACACTGACTTGTGTCAGCCAGTAACACTGACTTGTGTCAGTCAGTAACACTGACTTGTGTCAGTCAGTAACACTGACTTCAGTATTAGCTAATAACTGACTGACTGACACCTTTTTAGCTACAGTGCTAACTACTAAGTTATGAGGCTCAAAGTGCATCCTTGCAAGACCCAGTGCCTGAATTTGACCTCATTAGTCTTGTTTTTTGTATTTCTTCGTACGTTGGTTTGCGTGCACCAGCAGCAACAGCCTGGTTGATCAGGCGCTGATCCACCAGGAGGCCTGGTCACAGACCGGGCCGCGGGGGCATTGACCCCCGAAACTCTCTCCAGGTAAACTCCAGGTAAAAATATCAACTGGGCTTGTCTATTAAGTTTTTATATTTTTTTAGGCCTAGCTCTATTGCTCACTTAATATATGATAGCATAAACATGTTATCAGGCTTTTATATGCATTTGAAAATGGAAAAAAAGCAATGTTTCACTACTGCAATTTTCACTTTACATGTTTACCTGTTTTTACCTGTTTTTTAGTACATACTGTAGAAGACACTGTGTTACCTCATTGGAACTAAGTCACTTTGTCTGACTTTTCCAAGTTATCCTAGGACAGGGCTACTCAGTTGGCGGCCCGTGGTCCAAATCCGGACCTTCTGAGTATTCTAGTTGGACCACAGGCTTCAGGAGAAAGCTTACTTAAATAACAGCTGTTACCACGTTCAGGATCAGGTGATACACAAGAGAGGGATTAATACATTATTTTATCTGAATGGACTGCATACACTTAATGGAATACAGTATTCTAGCATAGCTAAATATTAGTGATATTTTCTTCCATCCGATGGTAATTCATATGTATCCAGACCTTTGCATACATTGGTACATTGGTATCTGGACCTTTGCATACATTGGTACTGTCCAAGTGGACCCTTGGTCATAGTAGTTGAGTAGCCCCGCCCTAGGAAATTTACAGTATGTATGATAATTGTACTCATGTGTACCTGTGCCTAAATAAACTTGCTTTAGTCACAGCAAAAAATCTTGGTCATTATTTATATTTTCCCTGGACTGAAATCAATTAACATTTTGTAATATAACTAACAACCATGTTATCTGTTACATGAGAAATATAGTAATTTTTTTGTGGAAATTGTTTAAATAGATGATAATGGGCAAAAATAAAAAAATTATGAATTGTAATTTGTAAAAAAAATTATTAAGTTTGTTGTGCAGTGGAATCAAGCTTTATTTTTATATGTAATGCTGTAATGTCGACTCACCTTTGGCAAGACTGTGATAGTGAGTGATGGTGAAAGTGTTTCATCTTTTTTGGGTCACTGTACCTCAGTGGGAGGTGACATAACTTATCCTAGACCAATTGCAAAATCATCGGTTGGGTTAATTTGGATAACATTAGGTTAAGTTATATTAAAAAGGTATTTTCCCCATAGACACTAAATACTTATGTATATCTCCATTGCACAGTGCACTTAATACTAAATCATTTGCATAAGAAACATTGGGAAATAAAGTATATATTGACCAGAATTCTTTCAGGTACTGTATTATCAGTCATGTAAACTCAAATTTGTAGCTACATTTCTTAGACTGGAACTTTACCTTTCACTTCATTTTCAGAACATTCTTTTGTACTGAGTACATCTCATGCAGCAAGATGGTGGACTTGGGTGGGGGAACAAGAGAACGTTTCCAAGACTTTGACACAGCAGACCCAGAGGATGTGTTACCTCCTGTGTCAACAGTGAGCTACTACCACCCTCACCATGCATCTCGAACCTCTTCGTGGCGGCACTCACTTCAGGTCTGTCATTTCATTTTAGTACTTAACTATAGAGTTAATTGGTAACATCCACTAGGAGTACATGAGAAAAAGTAAGGGAGAAATAGATAGGGAGGGGGAAAAGTAAGGAAGAGTTAGAGAGGAAGGAGAAATAGAGGAAAAAGTGAGTGAGAGGAGGGGGAAGAGAAAGGGAGGGAAGGAAGGAAAGGGGAGTTCCACAATGATGGGGCACAAGCATTTGGAAGTTCTTGTAGGAACATTGAGGAGGAGGGTTAGGGATGATAACAGGACAAAGAATGGATCTTATGGTTAAAAAATAGGGGCTCCATTGCCAACTAGTGGAGAGCAGGTAGACCAACCATGGAGCAGGGAAGCCCCAGTAAGGGCTTTGTTGAAAGAAGCCCTGGCCAGTGCCGGAACAGGAGGATGACATCCATGGGATATCAGGCTTAAATGCTAAGCACTGGGGTACTCAGAGTGAGTAAAATTGTGAATAACATACTATCAGTAGCTGGCCACTACATCAAACAAGCCAACATCTCATTAGTGACTTGTTTAATGGTAGAACTTCTGGCTAGAGTAACAGCTGTTGATAAAACAGGCAAGAGATCAGACTAAGGAACTCTTAAGAATGCCAGGGCCCCGAGATTCTACCAGGTCCTAAGGGCCCTGGTCCAAAGGTAGAAGGCGATGGGGGCCAAGGAAGACAAAGCCAGCATCCTTACGATGAATGCCTAGCCCATCAGTAGGAGGTATAGTCATGCAGACCAACATTAATAAAACAGTGTCTCTTGATGCTGTACACTCCCAACAAAAATGGGTCTATCTCACAAAGCACTCTTAGTTACTCATGCACAGTAACGAGCAAACCCAGGCCAAATGGAGAACAAAAATGAAAGGCTGCATGGTAATCATAAGACCTGTGAGCAGTAAGGAGCGTCACAAAGCTTGAAGACATCTGTAGTGTCTCCACTTACCTAACAAAATCAAATACAGATTTAGGATGTATCCACGAGGAGAAAGAGAAATAGGTATTCATATGTGGAGCTTTGAGCTCAGCCACTTTTGCATACTGATTTTTAGGCTTGATTTTATCTAGAATTTTAAGACTACATGCTTGATGCTGTATGACATATGGGTTTAGCACTTTCCTGTGAATAGACTGTAATAATATTAAATATATGAATACTGTACTTTATATTGGAAATTACAATAAACTCCGTAATAGTGATAATGGAATAAGATATCTTGCATTTAATTTTGTATCTTATCCAGTCAAAGGTAATAGATTTTTATTTATGTATTTTTTATACAGGAGCAGGATGTTGGCAATAGATCAAATTTCTTGGAATCAATGCATCATGATCTAGTTCAAATCAAGAATGACCCTGAAAATCTCTCACGAATATGCAACAGCACCAGCTCCATGCCATTTGTTGAAGGGTCTGCTGATTCATTTCTAGAAGCTGCAGAGGATGTCAAAGCAAAAGGGCAGCTATTTCAAGAGATTACACAAGCTGCTGAAACATTTGAGCCTTACAGTTCATCGCCTTCTAGTGGATGTTATCGAAATTATGTTCTTCCTCCTGAACCATCATGTCATGCAGAGTATATTTGTAAATATTAAATTCTGTGTTCGCCCAAAATTTTTGCTCTTGTCAAGCATTCTCATTAAGAGGATAGTAATTTTAGTTTATTTCTTACCTGCCTTTTATTTCAACTTTACAAGTACACTTTGCTGATTATTCAAGTCAGTTTTTCTGATGTGTTTCAGTCACAGTAAGTCACAGGCACTTCATTAAGTAGTCAATAACTTTGTACCTAATGCTCAAAAATTAACCCTTTGACTGTCGCAACCCCCAATCCTGAGGTGTCTCCTGGTGTCGCAAAATTTCAAAAAAAAAAAAAAATTATTTTTTCTTATGAAATGATAGAGAATCTTTTCCCGATTGTAATGACACCAAAAAAACGAAATTTGATGGAAAACTGACGGAATTATGCTCTCGCGAAGTTAGCGACCTCGGCGATATTTACAAATCGGCGATTTCGCCCACTTTGAGCCCTATTTTCAGCTAATTCCATTGTTCCAGTCGACCAAACTCATAGCTATTTCTTTAGAACTCCATTTTGTCTATCGATTGAGTACAAGAAACTGCCCATTTACTGATTCAACTACCCAATAATGTGGTCAGAAATTTGCAATTTGGCCAATTTCACAAAAACTAAAAAATATGACAATTTCAAAATAAGGTCCAGAATGAACAATGCAGACATTCGTGGCTCTAAAATAACATTTTCATCGTTCATCAGTCATGTCTCCAGGTCCCTCTGATATTACTCTTGCTTTCTATTTTGAATTTTTATTCAAACAAAAACTAGAAGACTTACTATTATGCAGACTACTGCAATACTGTAATAATTGTATAAATAACATCAACCCATTCATGACTGCATATTAGAATGGCTAGTTGGACATTTATTGGACAATGACATCATTTGTTTACTTTTGAACATTGGCAAAAATCAAACATTTTTCCTACTTTGAGCTCCATTTCCAGGTTCTTTTTATAGTAAAATCAATCAAAATCACTTCTACTTCTGTAATATGTTTTCCATTCTATCAAATGAGACCAAGAAAATGAGAATACAACCATAAATACTCTACGAAAATAGACCACAAAGTCGGCATTTTAATTAAAAAAAAAACGGTCGGAGTTTTTTTTTTCTAATTATGCACTGCGTGCTCCAGGATTTTTTTTATATGGTGCACACTGACCACACAGACCCATTCTCTCACATGTGGGCCTACCAGCTTTCTCCTGCTTGATTTGAAGCCGCTAGAATTTATGAGTATACGTATATACGTCAAACACGGTACCTCGTAAGACGTATATATATGGCCGCGACAGTCAAAGGGTTAAAGGTTAAAGTAATCTTTTTCTCTCTTAAAATCTTGTAATAAAAAACCTTATATTTAGGAAAAAGAGAATCTCTTGATTAAATTTTATAATGCATAAGGTTTTAAATTTAGGCTCTTTAACTATTTCCTTTATGACTTACCCATGTTGAACATTTGCCTGGCCTTGTTAAGATGCAATTTTAAATTGAATAAAGCCACAGAATAGAAACTTCAAAAAAAAAAAAAACTTATCTAAATAGCTTTATTAACCCTTTCAGGGTCCGTCCCGTAGATCTACGGCTTTACGTTCAGGGTCCAAACTGTAGATCTACGTCATGAGCTCAGCTCACTCTGATAAACTGTGAGTGGTACATTTGGGCCTAGATATGAGAGAATACATGTATGTGGTATGTGTGCACCACATAAAACATCCTGCAGCACACTGTGTATAATGAGAGAAAAAACTGAAATCATGATTTTTTATTAAAACAGCGACTTTGCAGTGTTTTTTCGTATGTTTTTTATAGTTGTATTTGCGATTTCTTGGTCTCATTTGATAGAATGGAAGACATATTACAGAAATAGAGATGATTTTGATTGGTTTTAGCACTGGAAATGGCTTGAAACTGAGCTCAAAGTAGCGGAAATGTTAAATTTTTGCCGATATTCAAGAGTAAACAAACGACCTCACACATCTAATACACGTCAGCTGGTGGGTCTAATATACATTCACAAATATGGTGATGATATTTATACAATTATTACAGTATTGCATAACAGTAAATCTTCTATTTTTTGGTGTGAATAAAAATTCATTATGTGAATAAAAAATCAAAATGGAATTCATTTGTAAAGCCTCAAAATGTAACTAATGAACCGAGGAAATGTTAGTTTAGTTCCAGGAATACCTACATTGTTTATTCTGGAGCCTATTTTGAAATTGGAATATTTTGAACTTTGTGTTAAATTGGCCAAATTAACAATTTCCGATCACTTTATTTTGTAGTTGAAACAGTTGACTTGGCGATTTCTTGTGCTCAATCGATAGAATAGAAGTAATACTAGTGAAATAGCTAAGAATTTGGTTGATTGGAATAATGTAATTGGCCTAAAATGGGAGTCAAAGTCGGCAAAATTGCCGATTCGTAAATATCGCTGACACATCAAAATTCGCGAGAGCATAATTTCGTCAATTTTCCACCAAATTTCGTACTTTTTGTTTTATTACCTTCACAAAAAGATTCTCTACGATTTCATAAGAAAAAATAACAAATTTTTTTTTGGAAAATTCTTGGACACTGGGGCACCACTTCAGATTTGGGCCTTGGACCCTGAAAGGGTTAAAGTGGCTAAACCTAGCACCACACACTTTTATGCTTGGCAAAATCCTAACTAGACTCAGTGTCTGCATTGAATTTTAATGACCTTTCATGTTGCTGCTTTGTATCGTAAGTTATCTAAGAATGTACACCATGCTGTAAACAAAGTTTTTCTCTGCCACACCAGTTACTGTAAAAAGTATTTTTCAGTATTTCAACTTTTATTTTTTTCAGCCAAACATGTTATTGTTCAGGACTGCTGGCACCATTTCTCTCATTAGTTAGTGTGTTACCTTAGGAAAAGCTATTCTGGGGTAAAATAATGTTGGAAATGTCAATGAAATGGCCAAGGACACACTACCACAAACTTATGTGGCAGGCAGCTGTCTATAGTTTTGTGATACAATTCCACATTTGCTGTTTTTGGTTAGTTTTTGGTATCCATAAATATTAGTTATTGACTTTTTACTGTGCCTTGTTATCGTTTCTATGTAGATTTGCTTACGTATTTTGATTGTGTGTTCAGTTTCTAATGGTATTAGTTAAAAATTGTCACTACTTTTCTTGTTAAATTGACTTACCAGAATTGTATTTGTATATAAAAAACATAGTACAGAAAGGCTCTGCTTATACAGCAATTTAGGTTCCAGGCTACTTATGTAAAGCAAAAATCGCTATAAAGTGAAACATAGCCTTTTTCACTTTCAGATACATATAAAAGCCTGACAATATGTTTGTACTATTATATATTAAGTGAGCAATAGAACTAGGCCTAAAAAATGCATATACAGTGGAACCTCGGTTTTCGTATGCCCTAGTTTTCATAGGATTTGGTTTTTGATGACTTTTTTCGTCAAAATTTTGTCCCAGTTTTCATACATCCGCTCGGTTTTTGTAGAGTTGACAATGGTCTGCGTACCAAATGTGTCCGCCTGCCCGTACCAACACAAAGCATCCCACGCATTCTGACTCGGTCTGGCTTTGTTTCCCATTGAGTGAACATTACTCCGCACGTTCAGATAACATTTCATAATAATCCGTTGTTTTTTGTGCTTGTTTATTGAGTGCAACTGCTAAATAAGCCACCATGTGTCCTCTAAAGGATTTTGAAGGGTTTGAGGCTGACCCTGACAAACCTATGTCTATTGTGGTATCTATTGTGCCTTTGGGGAAGTCCATGGGGTTGGATGCGAGTGGCCAGGATGTGGAAGAGTTGATGGATGACCACAGGGAAGAGCTAACCACTGAAGAGCTGCAAGATCTTCAGCTGGAACAGCAACAGACCGCAGCTGAGGAAATTGCTTCAGAGGAGGAGGTAGAGAGAGGGGAGAATGTGCCTTCTTCAGTGATAAAAGACGTGTGCAAAGTGGAATGAGCTGCAAAGTTTTGTGGAGAAATATCATCCTAACAAAGCTATTGCAAGCCATGTCTGCAACATGTTCAGTGATAATGCCTTGTCCCATTTTAGGCAAATCTTAAAGAGACTCCAGAAACAGACTTATCTGGACAGATTTTTTTGTGTGACAGGGGTCCAGTGACTCTCAATCTGGTCCTAGTGCCAGTAAAAGACAAAGAAGGGAAGTAACCCTGGATAAGGCCTTGGTACTTGAAGTCCTTATGGAGGGGGATTCCTCTTCCAAACAGTAACCTCTCCTCCTCCCTCTCCCCTCCTCACCATCTCCCATATGCCAACAACTCTTCAATAGAGGTAAAAGTGATGTTAAATGTTCATTTATCCATTTCATTAATCATTTATATTTATTTCTCATTGTTTTCTGTATGTAAAACTATAGTTATTCTCTATATAATGTATTTTTTGTTAATATTTTTAGGTGTCTGGAATGGATTAATTTGTCATGTAAGGGGGTAATGATTAGGGGAATATGCGGGTAAGCGGAGGGAGTCAGTAGGCAGGGGACAGGCAGGCGAGGTGGTAGGAGAGATGATTAGCGGAGGTAGGTAGGTAATGTGAGGTCACTGGTGACTACATCTTCACCTCTCATTACTCTACACTCCACACTACTCACCCTCTCACTGCTTTAACTAAACATAATAAAATATAAGAAATAGGAATAGCAAATAACGGGGACAGTGAATATTACTATTCTACTCAAACACAGTTTATTATTAAGTCATTGGGGTTTAGATAAATGGGGTGGTACACATAAGCAGTGAGACAGGGAAATACAAAACCAAATAAATACTGAATAACTGAACCTTATAAATTGTATATCTTAAATGTTTCTCACAATTATATCACATAAATGTTAAACCTAAAACCCAATCTAACAGAATACTCCATTCGACTGAATGTACAGCAATGCATGCAACCATATGACCTGTCTTTGTAATACTCATTTGTGCTTTATAGTTATCTGTTTACAATAATGTCTTATCACTGATTTCATCATTGCTTAGTTAATCTTAAGTTAATTTTAAGCCAGCCCGTAATGCTATGCATATAAGTGGCTTTGGCATGCTGCTCTTACCTGTATTTTTTTGTACCTCTGTATGTATGCTCAAATTACTAAATAAATAAATAAATAAAATAAACAATCAACTTGACCAAAATGAATATAACTTACAATATAGTTCAGAGGACAGTTCATCACAGGAACTAAGCCACAGGTCCCAAGACCTATACAGCACAAGTACTGCTCCAAGCCAGTACTCTGCCCAATGTCTCCAACAGTCTCTCCTCCCGAGACTCTCCAGCTCAGCTCTGCTCCCAGTCCAGAGCTCTGCCCGAATCTCCTCTGCTCAGCTGTTCCTTGGGTTTATATGGTGGTCCAAGCACACCCCACAACCACGTGTACGACCTGACGCCTAGGTCTGACACCGTCAAGAACAAAAGACCTCAGACATGGGCGTGGCTGACAGACGTTTGCCAAGGCAAGGTGTGACCATGTAATTGGTTAAATTAGGTCTCCCCAGAGACCTCACAAGCCCAGCTGAACTACATCACATATTGGATTTACATTATTTCTTATGGGAGATGTTGCTACAGTTTTTGTACAATTCAGTTTTCATCAGTCTTTCTGGAACAAATTAATCATGAAAACCAAGGTTCCACTGTACAGCACACACATTACATACTTACTTTAAAATATTTTCATCTGTAGCTTATAGTGAGTGGTGAATACAGTGGACCCCTGGTTTACGATCAGCTCCCAATGCGACCAATTATGTAAGTGTATTTATGTTTAATGCGTTTGTATGTGTATGTTTGGGGGTCTGAAATGGACTAATCTAATTCACAATATTCCTTATGGGAACAAATTCGGTCAGTACTGGCACCTGAACATACTTCTGGAATGAAATAATATCGTAAACTGGGGGTCCACTGTATATTTATTGTAGGAAGTCTAAATAAATGAAGAATGAGTATAATTGAAAACTGTGTGTTAGCAAAACACCATAAAGCAAAGTGCTGTAAAGCTGGGACCTCCTGTACAGTGCAGTACTGTATGTTAATAATCTAAAGAAAATGTAGGTGCATTTAGTTAGAAAGCATGACATTGTAACCAAAATATTTTGACTTTCATGTTTGTATGAAGTTTCAGACACATCACAGTGGTCATGGAATCGCAGCCCAGCTGATGACAGAGGCCTTGCAGTTTCTTCTGGAGGCAATCTTCTTGTGGAGTCTGGCCAGTCAAATGAAACTGTGATTGCCTCCCTCCAGTATACAGTTCCATCTCATCTTATTCCTGATACCTTCTCTTCCTGCTTGCCCTCCCTATCTCTAACGCAGCCGCCAACATCTGTCCCATCTTGTTCATCTGTGAGTTTTGCAGCTATTTTGAATTGAACATGCAAGGGAAAATTTATGAAAACACTAATTTAAGAAATTAAATGCTTGTGTTCAGAGTCCATGGGAATAGCAACCTGTTTGTTGAAAATGTATTGGATAAATGGTTAATTATTGAAATCTATAAAGAATTTTTGTAAGGCTGGAGTCAGTGGAGATGTCATTTGATGTGACCCAGGCTAGAGCCACTGTTAACCTGACTGACAGGTGACCCAGCTCAGCATAGTGATATGGTGGTACTGCTGTATACCTCCTTCATTTATTTTTTCTCTTCATGCCTTCCCAAGTTCATACACTTGCAAAGTGTTAATATTGTGAGATGCTTCCGAGGAAGAGATCACTCCCTCTTGGGATAAACTCTAATTGAAACACAACAGTAAAAAAGCCATTAACTGAATAATGAACATGCATTTTAATTGAATGGTTGTTTATATTTTAAAAAAATATATGTTGAGTATACTAGGTAAAATGTATGATATAATTATTATTGAAAGAGCTGGGGGTAAGATAAAAAATAGAATTACAGAGAAACAAGGAGGATTTACTAATGTTCTATCTTCTCTACTATTTTTAATTTTAAATTGTATGGTTTTACCATTATGCCCATTTCCTTAACAGTTATACTACATTAAATAACTTGCATATGTGTTCAGATTTTACTCACTTGAAATTAATTTTTTTTTCTACAGATGCAGCAGACATCTCCATCGACATTAACATCATCAGTGCTGGATCTTTCACCTGGTCCACCTCCCACAGCTCACCAGTTGCCGCCATTACAATCATCCATTGTGACTCAGGCATCCACCCATGTTGTTGCTGTTTCTTCTCCTCCATCGGCTCACCAGCTGCCCCCTTTGCAACCTTCCTTTCTTTCATTGGATATGGCTCCACAGGCTTTGTCAACACATCATGCATTAGATGATGCCCTTGATCTGGTTGCTGTTGAAAATCATGAGAAGGCACCAGAATATGAACCAAGACACGAGTGCAGACATTGTGGTGCCTTGTTTTCCAGACTGCCTTATCTCAAGTACCACATAAAGGTGGTTAAAATGTTTGTTTTACCTTAGCTAATATACACTTGCAGATTCTTTACAGGTTTAGAGCTGTTATTCTCCCACAGTTTTTCATTGCCTGGCCTCCAGGATGAAACTCACAACAGTCGGCTAGCACCCAGGTACCTATTGAGTGCTAGGTAAACAGGGACTAAAGGCCCAAGGAGATTTGTCATTATGTTTTGCCTTCCCAGGGATTGAATTTGGAATATTTTGGTAAGAGTTGAATGAAAGGTCAAGAGTTTGATCCTTGGGTAGGGTGAGATGTATCTGCCTTTACCCATATTCCCATTTTTGTGGTGTGGAGAGGTACATACCAGGATATGATGGTCAGGTATCAATTAGAAAAGTCTGTAGGTATGCAAAATAAACATTGTCATATTATTGCTCTTCTCCAGAAAGTAGCATCATGAGAACAGTCAGAGGTATAATATGCTAGCCCAATATCTTCAGCAGCACATCGGCCATTTCTTAAATTAGGTGTAAATTGATAAGTAAATTACAAGCAAAACTGACATTTATTCACTTACATAAAATACTAGCAGAATAACCCAGGGTTGCCTGGGATATTTAGCTTTTAGAAAATACAGTGGACCCCCGGTTAACGATATTTTTTCACTCCAGAAGTATGTTCAGGTGCCAGTACTGACCGAATTTGTTCCCATAAGAAATATTATGAAGTAGATTAGTCCATTTCAGACCCCCAAACATACACGTACAAACGCACTTACTTAAATACACTTACATAATTGGTCGCATTCGGAGGTAATCGTTATGCGGGGGTCCACTGTACTTTATAAGTGTAAAAAAGATTACTGAAAATCTTTCTTACTCTAGTATTGGTTCTTATGCTTCTTCAACTCTTTCATGTGCAAGAATACCTCATTAATATGGTGGGTTAGGTTCCATACTGCTGCCGTAAAACACATACAGCCTTAAAGCAAATCACAGAATTTTTTTGCTTACTAATGCATATATAAAGCCTAACAGCATGTTTACATTATCATTTATTAAGTGCCCAATAGTACTTTACCTATAAAGTTATGCAAAAGTAAAAATAATAAATAAAAAAATTGAAAATAGACGAAAATAGTGAACACGATTATATATAATTGAAAAGTGCCAAATTAGTGAAGCGCTCTAAAACGAGCATGGTATTAACGAAGTATATATGGAATAGGTGGTAAGTTACTAAATGCTGTAAAGAGTTTTTATGATGAGGATAGTGAGGCTCAGGTTAGGGTGTGTAGAAGAGGGGGAGACTACTTCCCGGTAAAAGTAGGTCTTAGACAGGGATGTGTAATGTCACCATGGTTGTTTAATATATTTATAGATGGGGTTGTAAAAGACGTAAATGCTAGGGTAAAGTAAAAGGACACAAGTGCAACTAATGTGACATTTATTGTGGCAACGTTTCACTCTCCAGGAGCTTTATCAAGCCATTACAAACAATACATGGACACAGAGAATCCTCCTGAAAACAGTAAACCCTGCCATCACATAGTCTCTCCTGTTATACTACACAAAGCACAGAGAGTGAACACTGAAACAAGCTGCCTCATTCCAGTTTATATTTGTCCAACCTATTTTAATGTTACCCAAGTAATAGCTTTTATATCCTTTTACTCATGTACGAATTAATTGCTCTACCATATTGTATTACTTTTGTCACTACTACTACTACTACTACTACTACTAGTGAACATCGAAATGGTACCTCACTAGTATTCACCTCACTCTGAGCCTTTATATACCCTCTGTGTCCATGTATTGTTTGTAATGGCTTGATAAAGCTCCTGGAGAACGAAACGTTGCCACAATAAATGTCACATTAGTTGCACTTGTGTCCTTTTACTTTACATATTGTCGGTAATTCTACCAACTTTATTACAAATGCTAGGGTGTTGGGGAGAGGGGTGGGATTAAATTATGGGGAATCAAATACAAAATGGGAATTGACACAGTTACTTTTTGCTGATGATACTGTGCTTATGGGAGATTCTAAAGAAAAATTGCAAAGGTTAGTGGATGAGTTTGGGAGTGTGTGTAAAGGTAGAAAGTTGAAAGTGAAAATAGAAAAGAGTAAGGTGATGAGGGTATCAAATGATTTAGATAAAGAACAATTGGATATCAAATTGGGAAGGAGGAGTAAGGAAGAAGTGAATGTTTTCAGATACTTGGGAGTTGACGTGTTGGCGGATGGATTTATGAAGGATGAGGTTAATCATAGAATCGAGTGAAAAAAGGTGAGTTGTGCATTGAGGTATATGTGGAGTCAAAAAACGTTATCTATGGAGGCAAAGAAGGAAATGTATGAAAATATAGTAGTACCAACACTCTTATATGGGTGTGAAGCTTGGGTTGTGAATGCAGCAGCGAGGAGACGGAGGCAGTGGAAATGTCCTGTCTAAGGCAGTGTGTGGTGTAAATATTATGCAGAAAATTCGGAGTGTGGAAATTAGAAGGTGTGGAGTTAATAAAAGTATTAGTGAGAGGGCTGAAGAGGGTTGTTGAGGTGGTTTGGTCATTTAGAGAGAATGGATCAAGTAGAATGACATGGAGAGCATTTAAATCGATAGGAGAAGGAAGACGGGGTAGGGGTTGTCCTCGAAAAGGTTGGAAGGAAGGGGTAAGGGAGGTTTTGTGGGCGAGGGGCTTGGACTTCCAGCAGGTGTGCATGAGCGTGTTCAATAGGAGTGAATGGAGACGAATGGTATTTGGGGACCTGACGATCTGTTGGAGTGTGAGCAGGGTAATATTTAGTGAAGGGATTCAGGGAAACCAGTTATTTTATATAGCCGGACTTGAGTCCTGGAAATGGGAAGTACAATGCCTGCACTCTAAAGGAGGGGTTTGGGATATTGGCAGTTTGGAGGGATATGTTGTGTATCTTTATGTGTATATGCTTCTAAACTGTTGTGTTCTGATCACCTCTGCAAAAACAGTGATTATGTGTGAGTGAGGTGAAAGTGTTGAATGATGATGAAAGTATTTTCTTTTTTTGGGATTTTCTTTCTTTTTTGGGTCACCCTGCCTCGGTGGGAGATGGCCGACTTGTTAAAAAAAAAAAATGTTTTTTCTCCATGGGGAAGTGGAACAGAATTCTTCCTCTGTAAACCATGCATGTCGTAAGAGGCAACTAAAATGCTCTCAGCATTTTAGTTGCCTGTATATATTACAGTTACTAAACTTAAAAAGAAACTTTTGTTTTTCTTTCTGGGCCACCTTACTTTGGTGGGATATGGCTAGTTTGTTGAAAGAAGAATATGTTTTTTTAAATCAGTTTAATAAAAGAGCATTAAAATTGTCATTCAACATAGTGGCAAAAGTATTTGCACCCTAATAACCTTGCTCCTGGGAATAATTAAGCTTCTGAAAAAGTTAGGTTGCACTGGCATTCATGGAGGCTGAGTGAAGCATAAACCAGCTGACACTGACTAATATACAAGATAATTTGCACTGCCCTGCTTATTTCTACCCTACATACCTTGATAGTATGAATGCAATGTTTTCTCACATTACCAAGTCTATCCATCTTTGTTTTGAGTTTTCTCTGCCAGCCTTATGTTCAGTTGGACATACTTCACTATTCTACCCATTTATTCTTTGCAACTCAACCATAGTTCCATGTTTTTATTTTATCTCTGTCTTATATGTCTGTATTTGAATATAGTATATTGTATAATGAAGATGGCATATCACTAAGACTTTTGTTTTCTGTTTTACTATTTATTTATACTTCTTCCCTCAGAGGAGGTTCCTTGAGGCCAGTGAACCTGAATGCCTTCCATTCCTGTAGGTGTTGTATGAGCTCCTACAAGTTCAGCTCTTCCCCATAAATATAATAGTTTATACTTTTCAGGACAGTGTTATATGTCTTGTTAGTGGACTGACATTCACTTAAGTTGCCACTTTATTAGGTACACCTTTACACCTTATTAATGCAAATATCTAACCAGCTAATCACCTGGCAGCCCCTCAGTACCTAAAAGCATGGAGACATGGTCAAGAGGTCCAGTTGGTGTTCAAACCAAACTTCAGAATAGGGAAGAAATGTCATGTAAATGACTTTGACCGTGGAATGATTGTTGGTGCCAGACATGGTGGTTTGAGTATCTCCGATACTGCTGATTTGAAATTTACACACACACAACAGTCTCTTAAACATTTACAGAGAATGGTACAAAAAACACTAAACATCCATTGAGTGGTAGTTCTGTGGGGAAAAACTCCTTGATAATGAAGGAGGTCAGAGGAGAATGTTCAGACTGGTTCAAGCTGACAGGAAGGTAACAGTAACTCAAATAACTATGTCACACACAAAAAAAAATTTTTAACACTGGCCATCTCCCACTGAGGTAGGGTGACCTGAAAAAGAAACGTTCATTATAATTCACTCTTATCACAGTCTTGCCAGAAGCATGCTAATACAGTGGTACCTCGAATTTCGAGCAGCTCCCAACTCGAACAATTATGCAAGTGTATTTTTGTAAGTGCTTTTGTAAGGGTATTTTTGGGGGTCTGAAATGGACTAATCTAATTTACATTATTCTTTATGGGAACAAATTCTTTTGGTATCAGCATTGGAACAGCCTTCTGGAACGAATTAAGTTCGAAACGTGAGGTACCACTGTACTACTGTTCAGCTGCCCCTCCAAACTGTAGATATCCCTATCCCTCCTTCAGAGTGTAAGTACTGTACGTCTCACCACCAGGACTCCAGTCTGGCTAACCAGTTCCTTGAATCCTTTCACAAATGTTACCTTGCTCACACTCCAACATATCATCAAGTCCTGAAAACCATTTGCCTCCTTTATTAATAAAATTATTTTTTGTAGTACATAAATTTGATTGTAAACATGTAGCATATATATATATATATATATAATGGTAGTAGGTTGGTAGACAGCAACCACCCAGGGAGGTACTACCGTCCTGCCAAGTGAGTGTAAAACGAAGCCTGTGATTGTTTTACATGATGGTAGGATTGCTGATGTCTTTTGTCTGTCTCATAAATATGCAAGATTACAGGCATGTCTTGCTACTTCTACTTACACTTAGGTCACACTACACATACATGTACACATTTATTTATACACACTCATCTGAGTTTTCTTTGATTTTATCTTAATAGTTCTTGGTCTTATTAATTTTCCCTTTTATATCCATGGGGAAGTGAATAAGAATCTTTCCTCCGTAAGCCATGCGTGTTGTAAAAGTCAACTAAAATGCCGGGAACAATGGGCTAGTAACCCCTTTTCCTGTAAAGATTACTAAAAAGAATAAGAAGAAGAAAATTGTCAAAGTGGGAAGTCTGAATGTGCGTGGATGTTGTGCAGATGATAAGAAAGAGATGATTGTGGATGTTATGAATGAGAAGAAGCTGGATGTCCTGGCTTTAAGTGAAACAAAGCTGAAGGGGGTGGGAGAGTTTCAGTGGAGAGGAATAAATGGGATTAGGTCAGGGGTTTCAAATAGAGTTAGAGCTAAAGAAGGAGTAGCAATAATGTTGAAGGATAAGCTATGGCAGGAAAAGAGGGACTATAAATGTATTAATTCAAGGATTATGTGGAGTAAAATAAAGTTGGATGTGAAAAGTGGGTTATAATAAGCGTGTATGCACCTGGAGAAGAGAGAAGTGTAGAGGAGAGAGAGAGATTTTGGGAAATGTTGAGTGAATGCGTGGGGAGTTTTGAATCAAGTGTGAGAGTAATGGTGGTTGGGATTTTAATGCTAAAGTGGGTAAAAATGTTTATGGAAGGAGTAGTAGGTAAATTTGGGGTGCCAGGGGTAAATGTAAATGGGGAGCCTTTAATTGAGCTATGTGTAGAAAGAAATTTGGTAATAAGTAATACATATTTTATGAAAAGAGGATAAAATAAATATACAAGGTATGATGTAGCACGTAATGAAAGTAGTTTATTAGATTATGTATTGGTGGATAAAAGGTTGATGGGTAGGCTCCAGGATGTACATGTTTATAGAGGGGCAACTGATATATCGGATCATTATTTAGTTGTAGCTACAGTTAGAGTAAGAGGTAGATGGGAAAAAGAGGAAGGTGGCAACAACAAGTAAGGGGGAGGTGAAAGTGTATAAACTAAGGGAGGAGGAAGTTCGGGTGAGATATAAGCGACTATTGGCAGAAAGGTGGGCTAGTGCAAAGATGAGTAGTGGGGGGGTTGAAGAGGGTTGGAATAGTTTTTAAAAATGCAGTATTAGAATGTGGGGCAGAAGTTTGTGGTTATAGGAGGGTGGGGGCAGGAGGAAAGAGGAGTGATTGGTGGAATGATGAAGTAAAGGGTGTAAATAAAAGAGAAAAAGGTAGTTTATGAGAGGTTTTTACAAGCAGAAGTGTTATAAGAAGAGCAGAGTATATGGAGAGTAAAAGAAAGGTAAAGAGAGTGGTGAGAGAGTGCAAAAGGAGAGCAGATGATAGAGTGGGAGAGGCACTGTCAAGAAATTTTAATGAAAATAAGAAAAAATTTTGGAGTGAGTTAAACAAGTTAAGAAAGCCTAGGGAAAATATGGATTTGTCAGTTAAAAACAGAGTAGGGGAGTTAGTAGATGGGGAGATGGAGGTATTGGGAAGATGGCGAGAATATTTTGAGGAACTTTTAAATGTTAAGGAGAAACAGAGGCAGTAATTTCATGCACTGGTCAGGGAGGTATACCATCTTTTAGGAGTGAAGAAGAGCAGAATGTAAGTGTGGGGGAGGTACGTGAGCATTACGTAAAAGAAAGGGGGTAAAGCAGCTGGAACTGATGGGATCATGACAGAAATGTTAAAAAACAGGGGGGATATAGTGTTGGAGTGGTTGGTACTTTGTTTAATAAATGTATGAAAGAGGGAAGGTACCTAGGGATTGGCAGAGAGCATGTATAGTCCCTTATATAAAGGGAAAGGGGACAAAAGAGACTGTAAAAATTATAGAGGAATAAGCTTACTGAGTATACCAGGAAAAAGTGTACGGTAGGTTATAATTGAAAAATTAGAGGTAAGACAGAATGTAGGATTCGGATGAGCAAGGAGGTTTTAGAGTGGGTAGGGATGTGTAGATCAGGTGTTTACATTGAAGCATATATAGTGAACAGTATTTAGATAAAGATAGGGAAGTTTTTATTGCATTTATGGATTTAGAAAAGGCATATGATAGAGTGGATAGAGGAGCAATGTGGCAGATGTTGCAAGTATATGGAATAGGTGGTAAGTTATTAAATGCTGTAAAGAGTTTTTTATGAGGATAGTGAGGCTCAGGTTAGGGTGTGTAGAAGAGAGGGAGACTATTCCCGGTAAAAGTAGGTCTTAGACAGGGATGTGTAATGTCACCATGGTTGTTTAATATATTTATAGATGGGTTGTAAAGGAAGTAAATGCTAGGGTGTTTGGGAGAGGGGTGGGATTAAATTATGGGGAATCAAATTCAAAATGGGAATTGACACAGTTACTTTTTGCTGATGATACTGTGCTTATGGGAGATTCTAAAGAAAAATTGCAAAGGTTAGTGGATGAGTTTGGGAATTGTGTGTAAAGGTAGAAAGTTGAAAGTGAACATAGAAAAGAGTAAGGTGATGAGGGTGTCAAATGATTTTAGATAAAGAAAATTGGATATCAAATTGGGGAGGAGGAGTATGGAAGAAGTGAATGTTTTCAGATACTTGGGAGTTGACGTGTCGGCGGATGGATTTATGAAGGATGAGGTTAATCATAGAATTGATGAGGGAAAAAAGGTGAGTGGTGCGTTGAGGTATATGTGGAGTCAAAAAACGTTATCTATGGAGGCAAAGAAGGGAATGTATGAAAGTATAGTAGTACCAACACTCTTATATGGGTGTGAAGCTTGGGTGGTAAATGCAGCAGCGAGGAGACGGTTGGAGGCAGCGGAGATGTCCTGTTTAAGGGCAATGTGTGGTGTAAATATTATGCAGAAAATTCGGAGTGTGGAAATTAGGAGAAGGTGTGGAGTTAATAAAAGTATTAGTCAGAGGCAGAAGAGGGGTTGTTGAGGTGGTTTGGTCATTTAGAGAGAATGGATCACAGTAGAATGACATGGAAAGCATATAAATCTATAGGGGAAGGAAGGCGGGTAGGGGTCGTCCTCGAAAGGGTTGGAGAGAGGGGGTAAAGGAGGTTTTGTGGGTAAGGGGCTTGGACTTCCAGCAAGCGTGCGTGAGCGTGTTAGATAGGAGTGAATGGAGACGAATGATACTTGGGACCTGACGATCTGTTGGAGTGTGAGCAGGGTAATATTTAGTGAAGGGATTCAGGGAAACCGGTTATTTTCATATAGTCGGACTTGAGTCCTGGAAATGGGAAGTACAATGCCTGCACTTTAAAGGAGGGGTTTGGGATATTGGCAGTTTGGAGGGATATGTTGTGTATCTTTATATGTTTATGCTTCTAGACTGTTGTATTCTGAGCACCTCTGCAAAAACAGTGATAATGTGCGAGTGTGGTGAAAGTGTTGAATGATGATGAAAGTATTTTCTTTTTGGGGATTTTCTTTCTTTTTTGGGTCACCCTGCCTCGGTGGGAGACGGCCGACTTGTTGAAAAAAAAAAAAAAAAAAAAAAAAAAAAAAATGTAGCATCATCTAAATTTAATAGTTTTGTAGCAAAATTTAATTTTTTTGCAGTTTTTAAACTTCGCTAATAATTTGGAATTGAGTATTGACTGTCTTGGTTTAGTTACTTAAAATAGCTTCTTGCCAATTTATCTGTTAAATTGTTTCTTCTGTAGAAAACACACAGATAGCGTGTCTGTTTGCACTTAACAGATGTGGAATGAGCCACACGAGTTTAGCATTTCACAAAAATATAATAAAAATAATTTACTTTCTGAGATTAATTTGTACTATTAAAATGCTTACTTCTTTCAGGCTCATTTGGATGAAATGGCAGGTTCTTGTGCCAAGCAAGAGGATGAAACTCAAGCCCTTGAACTACATGATCCAAAGCCCACACATGTACTTCAGACTGCTGAGAAACCTAAGCAAGAGGATAAAGCTCTACCCCTTGAACTAAATGAACTGAAGCCCAAAAGAGTACTGCAGACCACTGAGAAACATTTTACATGTAAACACTGTAATGAGACATTTTCACAAGCAGAAAAACTAAAGGTTTGTTTTGCTAATTCTCCTATAATGTGGTATGTACATTATAGGTATATGTGTTTCTAGAAATGACTGAGTTGTAGAAAAGTGTTAGGTACACACATTGAAAAACTTGCAGGATAAATATGATTACGTTCCAGTACTGGAAATAACATTATATTTTTCTTTTAATAGGACTAAATACATTACATGCAACTTCTCAAGACATTTATTGATGTACAATAAAAATTCTGGTGACAAATCAATAATTGTACATCAGTAAATGTCTTAAGAAGTTAATAGTCTTTTCCACCTGCTATAAAGGCTCCTGGACATTTGGCCAACAGACACCTTGCTGACAGACATTTGATCAAATGAACATTTCACCCATGTACATTTCACCAAATGGCAATTTCACCAATGGACATTTCACCAAACGGACATTTGGCAGAACTGACATTCATCACAGCATGTTTCCCAAACATTAAAAAGAAGCAATAAAAATAACAAACGAAATTAAAAAGGTCATAAAATAACAAACATATCCTAGCCTAATTATCTGTTTGGTCTGTTGCCCATTTGGCCAAATGACTGTCAGTACAATGTCTGTTCAGCCAATCGTTCTTTGTTCAAAGATCTATCAGTCAAGTGTGAGTCAGTCATCTGTCCAGCCACTGCTATAAATTTTTTTTTCCCTCAACAAGTCGGCCGTCTCCCACCAAGGCAGGGTGACCCAAAAAGAAAGAAAATCCCCAAAAAGAAAATACTTTCATCATCATCCAGTACTTTCACCTCACTCACACATAATCACTGTCTTTGCAGAGGCTCCCAGATATAACAGTTTAGAAGCATATATAAAGATATATAACATACCCCTCCAAACTGCCAATATCCCAAACCCCTCCTTTAAAGTGCAGGCATTGTACTTCCCATCTCCAGTACTCAAGTCCACTATAAATTATTTTACATCCCTTCTCACATTTTGGCAGTCCTTATTTTCTGAAGTTGAAATTTGTTAGAGGCTTCGGGATGTGAGGATATTGGACCAGTGTGGAAAGTTATGGTTCTGTGGATGCTTTTGAAGCCTTCAGTTGCTGATGGTTGTGTGATTGAGTAAATTATAGTGGAACCCCAAGTTTCGGCCATAATTTGTTCTAGAAGGCTGTTTGAGTGCCATTATTGAACGAATTTGTTCCCATAAGGAATAATGTAAATTAGATTAGTCCATTTCAAACTCCTAAAAATACACTTACAATAATACACTTGCATAATTGTTCGAGTTGGGAGGTGTCCAAAACTCTGGGTACCACTGTGTTTTGTAATTCATATCTGCATTATAGTGTTTTATGTATAGCATTGCTTAATTTGTTGAGTTTATGATATGGTAGTTTAAAGTGTTGAAGAAGCAGTTTTACATTGAAGGTTATCCAAGTTAAGATCTTTATGGATAATACATAAAATCTGGTCAAAGACAAGCACAGCCTCTCCTGTGACTGCTGGTGCAAGTTTATTCTCCACTTCCTGCTGTAGGGAAATCTTCAAAAAAATTAATTACAGGTTGCCATAATTTTCTCCATCCAGCATTTACAGAAGAATAGCATGCCTAATCCTCTGATGGCACTGTCATTAACTGCATTGGCAGTGTTTAACCCACACCACAACAACCATATTTTATCATGATATGCATTGGTGAAAGTGTTTCTTTTTCGGATCACCCTGCCTCAGTGGCAGATGGGCACGTTGTATGAAGATTTACTGTATTTTTTTTTCAACACTCTGGCCTTCTCCCACCAAGGCATGCAGGCATACTGCATACAGTATTTAATTTATTTGAAGTTTGTCTATTCTTTTTCAATCTTCATTATAGTGTATAGGCTTAGTACTGCATACTTCTATTTAAGCAGTTGCTCGGTTTGCTGTACTAACTCTCCACAGTTTTCTCCTGTATCACTTATTGATTATGTACTTTAGTTTGGCCTCAAACATTTCACTGTCAATCTTGATACATCCTACATGCTCATAATCATTTGCTTTTTCCTTGCATGATATTTAAAGGGCAGTTAATTATTTGATATAAAAATATTAGTTTTTCCCTGGTATTTATTTTGTAAAGAAGTTAAATGTACTAATGTTACCAGGTACACGAGTTGAATCATTCCGGAGAGCGGCCATTTAAGTGCAGTGAGTGTAGCACAGCCTTCTCTGCTAAAGCCATGCTTATAAGACATATGAAGGTAAATTATATATTTTTTAATTTAGAATTTAAGGATTAAATGCACCAATATTGTTTAGTTTTACATCATTTGTAATGTACCATAAAAGTAATATAATTTTAACTGCATGGTTTGAAATAGGTACACTAGATCTTAGGTCACAAACAGCTCCATTTGGAATTTTAATAACTCTCTATTTAACTTCTCTTGTACTGAAATGCATTTGATAGTTTGCTGCATTTTCTCAACCTTCCCCTCTTCCTTCCTAATTATCTGCTATACATTTATTCTTTGTCTTTGTAATTAATACGAAAGACAGGGTTACTTGCTCCAGTGCTCTTGGCATTTTGGTAGCCTTCTATGATGTGCATAGTTTATGGAGGGTGGATTCAAGTCCATTTTTCCATGGAAGTGAAAGAAAACACTACACAGGTCAGAACTATTAAGAAGGTAGAAGAAAACTCAGATGTGTGCTCATGAACACATGCACACACATACACGCACACACATACATGCACGTGCACACTCATGTGCACACATGAAAGCATTCACACACATATGCATGCACACACTCATGCATGCACATACATGCATGTGCACAGATGCACATACTTGCATACACACACACACACTGAGCCAGGACCTGTGACTCAACCCCTGCAACCACATATAGATGAGTACATACACACATTATTTTCATTTATTTACACTTTAAAAATATGTAAAGGTAGAAAGTTGAAAGTGAACATAGAAAAGAGTAAGGTGATGAGGGTATCAAATGATTTCGATAAAGAAAAATCGGATATCAAATTGGGGAGGAGGAGTATTGAAGAAGTGAATGTTTTCAGATATTTGGGAGTTGACGTGTCAGCGGATGGATTTATGAAGGATGAGGTTAATCATAGAATTGATGATGGAAAAAAGGCGAGTGGTGCATTGAGGTATATGTGGAGACAAAAAACATTATCTATGGAGGCAAAGAAGGGAATGAATGAAAGTATATTAGTACCAACACTCTTATATGGATGTGAAGCTTGGGTTGTGAATGCTGCAGCGAGGAGGAGGTTGGAGGCAGTGGAAATGTCCTGTCTAAGGACAATGTGTGGTGTAAATATTATGCAGAAAATTTGGAGTGTGGAAATTAGGAGAAGGTGTGGAGTTCATAAAAGCATTAGTCAGAGGGCTGAAGAGGGGTTGTTGAGATAGTTTGGTCATTTAGAGAGAATGGGTCAAAGTAGAATGACATGGAGAGCGTATAAATCTGTAGGGGAAGGAAGGTGGGGTAGGGGTTGTCCTCGAAAAGGTTGGGAGGAAGGGGTAAAGGAGGTTTTTGTGGGCGAGGGGCTTGGATTTCTAGCAAGCGTGCGTGAGTGTGTTCAATAGGAGTGAATGGAGACGAATGGTATTTGGGACCTGACGAGCTGTTGGAGTGTGAGCAGGGTAATATTTAGTGAAGGGATTCGGGGAAAACTGGTTATTTTTATATAGCTGGACTTGAGTCCTGGAAATGGGAAGTATAATGCCTGCACTCTAAAGGAGGGGTTCAGGATATTGGCAGTTTGGAGGGACATATTGTGTATCTTCATACGTATATGCTTCTAAGCTGTTGTATTCTGGGCACCTCTGCAAAAACAGTGGTTATGTGTGAGTGAGGTGGAAGTGTTGAATGATGATGAAAGTATTTTCTTTTTGGGGATTTTCTTTCTTTTTGGGTCCCCCTGCCTCGGTGGGAGACGGCTGACTTGTTGAAAAAAAAAAATTAAAAGCAGTTGATTCAGAGATACGAATAGTGGTCTAAATGGCATCACATTGAGCACTTAAATTACAGTTAATTCACATAATATTTTCTCGTTCGTTTTCTTTTGCAGGTTCATACTGGAGAAAAGCCATATAGTTGTGATGAGTGCAAGACTTGCTTTACAGAGGCTGGCAGCTTGAAGGTACACAAACGACTGCATAGTGGTGAGAAACCTTTTAAGTGTGACCAATGTGACATTGCCTTTAATGGTGCTGGCATGTTGGCTACACACAAAAGAAAGCACACAGGAGAAAAACCTTACAGATGTAATGAATGTGGTGAAACATTTCGGCTTCTGTCTACCTTGAAAAGTCACCGACGTAGGCACACAGGAGAGAAACCATTTGTGTGTGAGGTGTGTGGTGCCTCATTCACCCAAAGAGCAGCCATGCAGCGTCACAAGAGAATTCATTCCAATCAGAAGCCATGGAAATGTGAACAGTGTGGATATAAATTTCGAGAAAAAGAGAATCTGAGAAAACATATTGCTCTTCATCAGATAAAACTGCAACATACATGTAACATATGTGGTTCAGGTTTCAATCAGGCTAAGAAATTAGAGATTCATAAAATGCTTCACAATGGTGGAGATAGACCGTATCAGTGCAATAAATGCCCGTCCACTTTCACTAATCCCAAATACTTGGCGCAGCATAAAAAACGTGTTCATGACAGAAAGGGATCAATACGTTGTGAAGAGTGTCATAAAACATTTAAAAGGAAAGAGATTCTGCGGTCTCATTTGAGAATACACAAGGGTGAACGACCATACGTGTGTGAGGAATGTGGGGCTGCATTTAATCAGAGAGGAACACTAACAAAACATATTCGTAATCACACTGAGCGACCATACGCATGTGAAGAATGTGGGGCTGTATTTACTCAGAGGGGGACACTAACAAAACACATTCGTAATCATACCAACAGTGTTTCGATTTGTGAGAAAAAAAGTGATGAAAATTATGTTGAGATTTCTGCTGTGGATCATAAACTGGATGACATCAAGACTGGTGATGTCTCATTACGTTGCCCAACTTGCAATGTCAGTGTCTCAACTCAGGAGGAGTTAGTGCGGCATAAGAGGACAAGTCATCCATCACTTAGAACTGCACAAAATAATTCTGGGTCTGAGCAAGAAGTTGATGATAGTAGCGAGCATATTAGGGATAAGTATGTGTGTGAAGAGTGCGATCAAATATTTTTCCGAAGACGACAGCTTAAGGCGCACAAAAAATATTGTCCATGTATCTGTTCAACCCGTCAATCAGGGCCCTCTAAGCATACAAACATTAACACAGCTTTTCAGAGTGATACTACTAAAGAAGTGGATGCCATGAAACTTCTAACAGCAGCATTAGCAGTGACAGATAGTGAGGTAAGTGATAGTCTTGGGTATCAGAATTCTGTTGGTCGAGGTCAGCTATCTTCGGCCTCCTCAGTGGAACACTCTTTGGAACGTTACCCCTCTCCCCCTTCTGTCCCTTCTGCAGTAGAGCAACCTCATCGTTACTCCTCACCTCATCTCCCTACAGGTGATTCTCTCTTTCCTCATCATGTTAACATACATCAACCACAGAATCGTATACATCAACCATCACAGCAAGAGGTGCATCTGTCACAACCATTGCAACAAAATCAGTTACAGCAGCCTCTGCAAGACCATCTACAACAATTGCCACATCAAATGACTTTGCAACATTTATCCCAAAGTAATCTGTCGCACTTGTCAGACCAGAGTGATCAGTTGCAGCATTCACCACAAAGTAATATGTCACAGTCACCTCATCAGCATGATCATATGCAACATTCAGATCACCTACAGCCTTTAACACAAGAACATAACTCGCTTCATCAGTCATCACAACAACATAATCATCCACAGCAATCATCACAAGACCCTGTTCATCAATTACCACTACAGCATGAACATTTACTGCTGTCTTCAAGAGAACAGAGTCATTTACAGCTGCCTTCAAGACCACAGAGTCACTTACAGCAGTCTTCAAGAGAACAGAGTCACTTACAGCTGCCTTCAAGAGTGCTGAGTCATTTACAGCTGTCTTCAAGAGAGCTGAGTAATTTACAGCTACCTTCAGGAGAGCAGAATCATTTACAGATGCCTTCAAGAAAGCAAGGTCATTTACAGCTGCCTTCAAGTGAGCAGAGTTGTTTACAGCTGTCTTCAAGAGACCAGAGTCATTTACAACAGATACCAAGTCAAGTGCCTAATCCAGTTCACTTGCAACAACCTCCAAAACAGCACAGCAGTAATTTGCAACGATCCTTAAAAGAGAACAGTCGAGTTCATCAGACTGGTAAAAGTAATTTACAGCAATCTTCAGGACAGCAAAATCACTTGCAGCATCATCCACAACAGCAAGAACAAACTCAGCAGTCATCTCATGGATCAGACCAGTTTCATCAGTCTCTTAGACAAGACCATTTACAAAATCATCTTCACTTTTATGAAATAGTGCAACAGGAGTTTTATAAAGGAAGTTCATCATCACTTTCCAGTCAGCAAATTCATCACCACACCAGGCAGCTACAATTGCTTGATCAGCCAGACCAAAATGTAACTTCTGAAGAGGACTGTCTTCACCAAGAATTTCAACAGGATCTTCAAGAAAA